CTGTCCAGATGCAGAAGGTTGAATCTAGACCCATATCTCTCACCATGCACTAAACTTAAGTCAAAATGCGTCAAAGATCTAAATGTTCAAACAACAACACTTACTGTACTGACAGATAAACTAAGAAAAATTCTTGAAGAGCTAAGGGCAGGCAAGGACTTTCTGAATAGAACCCCAATTGCACAAGAAATAACATTAAGAATCAACAAATGGTTCCGGGAGAACATGGCGGACAGATAACAGCAACTACCAGAGGCTCTCTGAAAGACTCGGCTCAGAAGCCAGGAATGGTGCGGACTAAGGAGACATAAGCAGGTGGAGATATGCTCTGCTGACTCAGGAACGAACTGGGCTAAGAGAAGCCAACTTAGAATGCAGTCCTGGTGCTAAAACAGGAACAGAAAAGACTCGGTGTGGAGGCTGGAACCGCGCCACTGTAAGCCGCGATTTGGGTTTCCCGTCGCGCGGCGGCTGGCTGCCTCTACAGTGGCTCGGCAAGGAGAGAGACGCGCAGAAGCTCTGAGAACGGCAATCTGCGAACGGCAGGGAGGCGTGCACTGACTTGTGGTGAGGTGAGTGAGAGAAACTGACACTCTACCACAATTTGACTCCAGCAGAGGACTTTCTGGGCCCGAGCAGTCCTGTGGGAGCAGGGCGCGGTGGCGACTCCTGCCACACATCCCCCTCTCGGGCGGGATTGGTGAAAAGTGCCTGGCCTGCCTGACGCTGCCGGCGGACCTGGTAGGCTGTCCCAACCCAGATCCCAGAGCCTGACGATGGCCGGGAGGGGAGACGCGTAGGCTGCCTGGTCCGTAACTCCCTGGTGCGCAGCGGTGAGCGGGAACACCTAGCTGGCGCAATTCGATCAGGCTGTGGCTGACTGGGAGAGAAGCTGGGCCTCTTATATAAGCTTGCATATATAAGGAACAGAGAAGAAGAGGCAGAATGGGAAGAGGCAGCAACAAGAAAGGCTCCTCGGCCCCCAATTCTGAGAAACAGGCAATAGCAGACACCGCACCAATACACATAAGGCACCATATAGAAAGCCTCATAGACCAATTCAGGAATGAAGTTATCAATGACCTGAAGCTAGAAGTATGCAGAATAGTTAGAGAAATGCTAAGTACCACCCAAGAAAAAACAGGTGGTGGAATGGAAGAACAGAAAAAAAGGGGAGAATTGTTTGATGGAGAAAACAGAGAAAGCATAGAATACGTGAAGCAGGTTCAAAGGGACTACCAAGATACTAAGAAGTCTATAGAAGACTGGCATAACAGCTTGAAAGAAACTAAGGACAGACTATCTGAACTGGAGGGCAGACTTGTAATATGGGAGAATGAAATGAAAAACTTCTTAAAAATAACAAAGAAACAAACAGCAATAATACAAAGACAAGAAGATGATAAGAGGATCCATAACTTAAGGATTAAGAACATAAAAGAAGAAGTAGGGACACAAACAAGTGAACTACAAAAGCTATTCACAGAAATAATCCAGGAGAATTTTCCTAATTTAGCAAAGGGTAAAGATACTCAGATGTATGAGGCATACAGGACCCCAGCTACCTACAACCCAAACAGAGAAACACCCAGGCATATAATAATAAAAATTCCAGAAATTCAATACAAAAACAGAATATTAAAAGCTGTAAGAGACAAGAAACAGACCACTTACAAGGGAACACCCATCAGAATTACAGCAGATTTCTCTGCACAAACCATCAAATCACGAAGAGCGTGGGGGGAAATAATTCAAGCATTGAAAGATAATAATCTCCAGCCAAGATTGAGATATCCTACACAACTGTCCCTGGAAATTGATGGAAAAACAAGGTGCTTCCAGGATAAAGAGGAACTGGGGAAATTTGCAACCACCAATTCAACTCTACAGAGAGTATTGCAGGATATTCTAAAAAAAGAAAAATACAAAGAATCCAGAAATAATGGCAGAGAGGCCACAGCGAATGGAGCAGAGAACAAAATGAAGAAGACAAACTGACAGCTACTGACAGAAAAAGAGCTTAACAGAAATGAGGCAGAGAAGATTGGATGATAGGAACAGCTATTTTGGAGAAAAATGACATCTTAATAGGTAATACTGATTTAGTATCATCTTGTTTTGAAGTCTCATCTAGCTTTTGTCCTTCTGTCTCCAATGGTCTAAATAGGCTGTATCTTATTGGATTTTATTATGTATGATAGTATAAGCAAAAACCTTTTAAAGACAAGGAGATTATACAGAAACCATTGTTCATTTTCTGTTAGTCGATTCTAAATACTCTGTAATGCTGTCATTCTCTTGAATGGTTTTACATTGTTTTGATATACTTAATGCTACAGTATACGAAGTTGTACTCAAGGATTTCAAAGAAAGAAACAATATGGTAACTACTTTTAGGTTAGGATTATCTGGTGGTGAAACACTATTCTGCTTAAATGGTTATGCTTTGATCTGCGCTGTTTCGTTGTTATGCCCTCTTTTATCTCAATCTCCACTCCATTATTTACTTTTTTATCTTTATCCTTTTAATTAAAGAAAAAAAATAGCAGGATATATTATAGTAACCCACTTTGACTTTTCATTACCTTGATTTAAAGCCCTGTATTACTCTCACCATCTGGTTTTTAACTGATGTTCCCCTATTCTGTTTTGCTAGATAGTATCAGGTTCGAAAGTTTAGGCATCAGCTGTGAAGATAATGAGATTCATTATGACGCCCATTCTTGTTGACTTTTATCTACTTTTGAAGACCTACAATGTCTCCAATGTTTTGGTTTTGTCGGTTTTATTCTTTATTGTTTTGTTCAATTGTATTATAACTAATGATATAGGCAATTCTATTAGAGATAGCAGGAGGCATTATGGTAACCATTGTTGATCACCTTGTATTATGTTTTTACATTATCTATAATGTCCACCCTTTTGACTTGACCGATTCTGTTCTGTTATGTCACATTTGGTTTTACTCTCTTCCAAAAAAGTAATAAGAACCGTGGGAGCAATGAAACCCAAAATGTGTAATAGTCATGGTACAAAAGAGAGGAAAAGAAAGTGCTCCAAACTATATAACTGCATGTATATTTAAGTGTATAAGATAGAAAATGATATCACAGAGTTTTATTGGATCAATGAACAGAACTGTTTGCAGTATCATTGATGGAATGTCCACTTTACAAGCTTTAATTTTGTGACTTGAACAATTATTTCTAAGATGACAATATGTAATCCATTAACTAGTGATTTCCTACTGTTCATTTTTTTTCTGTAAATCTGTATAACTTGTACCCTTTCCCTGCTTTTTTTTTCTTTTCTCCTTAAATAAAATTTAAAAAAAAAAAAAAAAAAAAGAATCAACAAATGGGGGCTGGGGAATTTAGCTCAGTGGCATAAGCACCTGCCTTGCAAGCAGGCAGTCATGAGTTCAATCCCCGGTACCAATAAAAAGGAAAAAGACCAAAAAAAAAAAAAAAAAGAATCAACAAATGGGGTCACAAAAAATTAAAACAACCAACAGAATGAAGAATCAACCTACAGAATGAAAGACAAAATTGTCAGTTACTTCAAATGGAAGACTAATACCTACAATGTATGAAGAAGTCAAAAAAATTAGAACTCCTAAAAATAAAAGACCCAGTCAAGAAATGGGCAACTTCTCCTCAGAAGAAGAAAGTATAAAGGGCTAATAAATACATGGAAAAAATGTTTAATATCTCTGGTCACTAGAGAAATGAAAATTAAAACAGTACTGAGATTCTCTCTTACTCCAGAAAGAATGGCTAACATCAAGAAATTAAATAATAACAAATACTGGTAAAACTGTAGGAAAAACTGTGAACCTTATACATTGTTGGTAGGAATATTAACTAGCACAACCATATGTAAATGAGTATAGAGATTCCTTCACAAAACAAGAACTAGAAATTCCATTTGACCCAGCTACTACTCTTCAAGATATTTCCCAAAAAAAAATTGAAGGCATCATATTACAGTGATAACATGCATACCTATGTTTATAGCAGCACAATTTATAATAGCTAAATCATGGAAGTGGCCTCTGTCCATCAACAGATGAACAGATAAAAAAATGTGGTATTTATACACAAGCTATTACTACTTCATAAAGGATAATAAACTTGAGTCATTTGTAGGAGAATGGATATACCTTGAGGAAATACCATTATGTAAAATAAATTAGACACACTAGCTTAAGTATTGCATTGGTTTTTTATATCACAGCACCTCCCCCAAAAAATATAAATGTAGAGCAAATTACAGTGGTCCCTCAGCTCACACACTTAATTCTTTCCACAATTCTGGTAGCAAATAGAATTGGAAGAGATCCAAATCAAATTCCATGGTTAGGTGTAATGTTGACCTTATGGGTAAATTTGTGGACAGAATTTAGTTTTTGAACCAAGGTGCCACTGTAAAAATATACATAATAGCAAATAGGGGATAGATTTTTCACAAATAAGAGAGGGATCAAGAGACAGAGGGAGGTGGCAGGAAGAGAGAAGCAGATCTTATAAAGTATTAAAATGTATTTATGTACATGTACCAACTCCCCACTCTGAATGTAATCAGTATTATTGCAAATATGTACTAATAAAAAATGAAAGTTGAAGAAAAGAAACACAGTAACAATAATACATTTAAAAATATAACTACCTTTTTTGGTTTGGGTTTTTCATCTGCTTTATTTTGTTAACAAACAGAATATTTTAAGTCATTCCTAATAGGAATTTGGGCTTACCATGATTCTCAATGTATCATAAATATTAAAAAACTATTGAGCTACTGGATCAGTACCTACAACAAAAAATCTGATACATGAGGTATAAAAATAGCACTGTCTCTCAGGAGAGTGATGATAAAATCTAAAACAAGTTTTTAAGAAAGAAAAATCTCAAAATATTGATCTAAAGGTTTTCCTTTTAGGTATGAAGGATCCACAGTGATCTTTGAGAAAAGGGAACCTGGAAAGCTATTGGATTTCTTACCTTAACAGCTGTAAGGTGAGATATGACTTTTAGTGGCTGGCCCTGTGCATGGGTTCCTGGATCATGGGGCCATAATGTCAGCAGACCATCACTGCAACCAGTGGAGAACAGCCTACCATCTGGTGACCACTTCAAAGCACACACAGCTTTCCTGTGACAAAGTGTTCCAACTTGATGCTGGGCTGCACGAACATCGTGATGATAAACGCGGCCCAGTCTTGACCCACTACATGCAAGTAAAGATGCAGGTTTACATGACAACAAAATAATATTAATAAGCCCTATTGCTACATAAGCATTGACAACATAGAGGAAAGTATAGTTCAAAGGAAAACTACTGAAGGACACAAATACAGGTAGAAATTCTTTAGGTTAATAAAAATGGATTATTCTACCTTTGGATTCATTTCATAAATGAAATTGACTTGTCTAGCAGAATTTCAAATCTGGAATTGAAAAGTATTCTTTGACAGACATCTCTAATAACCATAACAAGATATAGACAATCACGGAAAAGATAAATTTAGAAAACTACCAGATTGTCTCAGATAGTAATTTATGTACTGGACCTAGGAAATGTTCCTTTTTTTGGAATGTTTCATTTTATCTCAATAAAATGGTCTTAGTGTACATTTATAGTAAATATTAGACAGAAATTTATTATCTCCTTTTTTAGCAGGTATGTTCCTATTAAGTTATAGATCCATTCTTAGTTTTGTCAATGTTGCTAACATGTAAAAGGAATTTAAAACTACCATTGAAAATTGCAATAGGATTCAAAAAATCAATAGATAAGGAGTCTATTCACTCTCAGTAATTTAAATACAAAAAATGATAAAGATCCTACCACTTCTTCAAAGATAATTAACTCTTTGAGGAATAATTTTATGTTCTCTAAGGAATAACTTTCTTAAAAAATTTATAAATTTTCTTGAAATCTAGTATCCTTTTTAGGCCTTGCACAATACTGAATAGCACTCTAACATATGGGACCTAGAACCAGAGTACCTGGGTTCAAATCCTGACTCGGTCCCTTATTAACCATGTGACTTCAGTCTAGTGTCTCAGTTTACTCATCTGAGAAAATAATGGAGATAAACCACATTCAAGTGTTATCGCAGGTATTAAATAAAGATTGTGCACATAAATATATAGCATAGTTCCTGGCACAAAGCAGTCCAAAATAGCTGATATCATTACAAGAAAGGATTTGTTCATGTTCTTCATGGATAATGAAAATAATCTCTAACAATGCTGACTGTAAAAAAGAAGCTGGGTACAGAATTGACTACAAGAACCAAGTGATTGAGTTTGCCCTATAAACACAAGTATTAAAATTTCCAATTTACAGCTGAGCTACTTGAAGAACTTGTAAAAGGCTGTGCTATCTATCTAACCGAAAACTATCTTAGGAAATACAATACAGATATAAATGACTCATTAAAAGCAATAAGTATTTAAATAAATTAGGTAGGGTAGTAAAAAGTCATTTAGCTTTTCTTGTTAAAAAGCAGTAAAATTATACCAGTAATTTTCAAAGTTATACATTACTAGCATCACTTAGAAAATTAGAAATACAAATTACCGTATCAGCCTCCCTAAGACCTAGCACATCGGGAAGTCCTGAAGCAGCCTTAAAGAAATATGGATATATTTTTAAGGACCATTGAGTATGGTAATCTATGTGGTTCCTTCCAATTCTGATTTTGGTAAGTCTTTACATTGTAAAACTGGCCAGAAAGCTTAACATATTCTACAGTATTGACAACAATAGTGATAAACATTTTGTTTCATTAAAATATCCCTTTACCTGGTACATAGAAACCTTTTGCTTGCAGGAAATTTTGCATTTCATCTGAACAACTTAGAATCCCATGTGGAAGACCCATAACAGCCAAGGCACAAGTGGCCACCAGGACCCATACATCACCAGAAGACATCCATAGTTGAGAGGGCAGAATCATATCTAATAAAAATCCAAATTCCTATTTTGTTTCATTTTGCTATTGGTCTTAAATATTGCAGTTCTGTTCACTCAGTACCATAATCATTTGGTGATACAAACACAGTTGGCTCAAATAAGATGTTTCTTACCTGCTAAGGATGTAGTGATTCCAGCTCAGTGACCCAACTACTGACAAGTGACCCTGCATACTTCTCAGCCGTTTTTTAGCCACCACATCCCATAACTGAAAAAATGAACAAGCAGGGTGATACAGATTTGCATTTTCATAATCCACTATCTTCTCAAAGGTCTGACAGCTGATTATTTTTGAAGTAGCCAATCTATCATCAGCTAAGAGAAAACGCAAAACCTTTAACATTAACCAGCAGTTCCCAAGTCTGACTGCATATTAGGATCACCTGGGGAATTTATAAAACACTGTGGATGCTGGCAATTCTGATTTCATTGGTGTAATAGAAACAGGAATGCCGGTTCTACCAATTAAGCTTTTATTTTAAAGCTTCCTGGATGCATTCAGCATACAATTAAGGACCAAGAATCATCATCAAACTTCTAGATCCTTGTAAACTGTGAGAACTTCAAGCTTGAAAACCCACTTAAAGTTAACAACAAACATACAGGTTGAGTATTTCTCATCTGAAATGCCAATTTTAGTTATCTAGTAATTACACAGGGAATATTCTGAGAAAATAAATTGTCTAGTACTTGTACTTCTCCCTCGCTGGTGCCAATTGCCAAGCATGTTCCCTTTTTTATCCAGGACACAGAAGACACATAATTACAAGTGAGACTTAAGTCTATCTTTTCAACTCCATTGTGGTTTTCCCCATTCCAGATGTATACAGCAGATCCAAGGGCAACAGCAACAAGATTTTGAAAACTCCAGTCTAGAATATTCAGATCTGTAAGAACAGCACTTTAAATTAGGACAACCATATAGCCATACAAAAACATTTTCAAATAAACAACTTATTGATAGGTAAGAGAAAAAAAGTCAATCTCTTGCCTGCGGTCATTTGGAAAATAGAATCATCAACCCAAGCTGATCATTAAAAGTTTAAAAATAAAAACTAGAATAGAATAGAAGGAGCTTGCAAACTCACTGTAAAATAAGCAATAATGTTTTTCATCTTTTTCTTTTTTATCGGTACCGAGGATTGAACTCACGACCACACACTTGCAAGGCAGGTGCTTATGCCGCTGAGTTAAATCCCCAGCCCAAAATAAGCAATAATGTTTATCATTTATGCTCAAAATACACTTATTTAGAGGTATCAAAAAGCCTGACAGATTCACCTGCCATTATTAGGATACATGAACTTTATCTAACAAATGATTAAAAAATGAAAGTATATAATTACAATGGAAACATCCTATCTATATGCAAATGCCACCATCACTTAGGTTTTGTTGTTGTTTTGCTTCAAAGAAGAAAAAAGCACATAAAAATCAAAAGCAATAAAACAAAAAAAATCCAAATGACAACATCAACAATAGTGATACAGAATTTCAAAACAAAATGCTAGGGGTTTTTTTGTTTTTGTTTCTGTGTGGTTTTTTTTGTTTGTTTGTTTTTGTTTTTGTACTACAGATTGAACTCACAATCTTGTACTTGCCACACAGGTACTTGTGTCACTGAGCTAAATCCTTGGGCCTAAGATGATAAGAATTATATTGCATATTGTTATCTTCAAAATAGCTGCTCAGGTTACCAGATACAGGCATGCAAAGTTGATCAAACAATATGATTTCCCTTTGAGTAGTTTCTTTCTATTTTACTATTTCTATTGTAACTTTTGGACCTTATTTACTTTCAGTTTCTTACACCAATGAGACAATATAGTAATTACACATGCAAATTTGATTTATTTCACTTATGAGTATGGTTTCTAGTTGCATCCATTTATCTATTTGATACTTCTTTATAGCTGGGTAGTACTCTATTGTATAAAAAAATACCACATCTTTTTTTAATGGATTCCCCAGTTGATGGGCATTTAGGTTGTTTCCAAGATCTGACTATTACAAATTGTGCAACTACAAACATTGGTGCACTTACATCGCTGTGGTACAATGTTTTCAATTCTTCTGGGAAAATATCCAGAGGGGAATATCTGGATCAAATTGAACCTGTAATCCTAGTTTTTTTTTAGGAATTTCCACACTGATTTTTCCCAGTGGTTTTTACCAATCTGTACTCCCACCAACAATATAAAAGTGTTCTTTTTTTCCCACAGCCCCTCCAGAATTTGTTATATGTTGATTTCTGGATGTTAGTCATTCTTTCTGGAGTGAGATAATATCTCTGTGTTGTTTTAATTTGTTCTCAAATGGCCAATGATGTTGAACATTTTTTCATGTATTTATTTGTCATTTGAATTTCTCCATCTAAGAATTGTGTGTTCATCTCAGGTGTACGTTTCTTAATTTGGAGGGTCTGATCCTTTTCAATTCTTTATATGTTCTAGATAGAAGTCCTTTGTCAGAGTCAGCTTGTAAAAATATTTTCTCAATCTGAGAGGTTTTTTTCACTCTGTTGGTGATTTTTTTTTTTTTCTTTTTTGGTACCTGGGATCAAACTCAAACTCATGACCTCATGCTTGCCAGGCAGGTGCTTAAGCCACTGAGCTAAATCCCTGGCCCACTCTGTTGATGATTTCTTTGGATGTGCAAAAACTTTTTAATAAGATGAGGTCCCATTTGTGCCACCATCACTTGCAACCAAAAAATATTATCTCGTTTAGAAAAAATGGTGTCTCATTTATGTTACCTAAAAGATAACAATTTTATTTATTTTGTCATAATAGGAACTCTGACTGCTAAGAGAAATCATGTTTGTATGGTCATTTATTAAAATTCACCTATCTTATTTCTTATGACAGAAAGTCCTATTCCAATTCACATATACCAGTATAAGGCTATGACATACACCAATTCCTTTATAGTTACTTAAACCCCTAAAATGCATCCCTCTCACTAATAACAACAACAAACTTTGAACAAAATATAAAAAGCAAACACCTGAAGATCCTAGAACATATGTAAAAGGAGGTAAACTAAGTCAGTGCAGCAAAACAAGGAGAAGCAATCTGTCTAGGAGTGAATTCCCTATTTTTTTTCCTCTTAGATTTGCCCTGAAGAGATGCTAGTCATTGAGTGCAACCTACAGCCAAGACTCTAGTAGAGAGCCAAACCATCTTTCTAGTCAGAAGAACCATGGAAAGAAGGCTGGGGTGGCCAGACTTTGAGGGAAGAGATCCAAAGAGAGATGCTCTCTAAGCACGAGAACGCGAGTTCACACGTTTCAGCCCACCCCTCAATCAGGGAAGTGCAGGGAAAACTCAAAGTAGCCTAGAAAAATCTTTGAGAAGTGAACTGAGATTTGAAACATCCTACAAGTCTCAATCTAGAGTCAGACCCAAACATAGGAAAGACAGACCCAAACCAGCATAGGCTACACTTAAGGAATTGATCAGTGATTAGAAAAACAATACACAGATAGCAAGCCAGAATTAAAATGTGAGCCTATCTAGAAAAAAAGCATCAACTCCATAGAGCCCATAGTGAATACAACGTAACATGTATAATTTCCAGGATACATTCAAAATTAGTAGATATATACATTGGAAAACATAATCAATAGTTCATAATTCTAAGATTATGTAAGAATTACCAGACCAAGATATTAAAGCAGGTATCAATTCTCCATGAGACAAAGAAAAACACACTTGAATTGATAAAAAGATAGAAACCTCAGGAAAAAAATATAAAAATAAAATTTCCATATACAGAAAATATAAACCATAAAACAAAACATGAAAATAGAAGCAGAAGCTATAAAAATCATTAAAATTTTTTTAAGTAAAAATAGAACATCTAAAAAGTTCTCAATAGCAAATGATAGACAAATGAGCCAGTGAACTAGAATACATATCAACAGAAATTATCCAATCAGAACATAGAGAAAAAGTAAAAAAAAAAAAAAAAAAATGAATACAGTCCCCAAGTACACACAGAATAACACCCAAAGAGCTTACATAAGTCTAATTGAAGTAGGCCTTTAAAGCAAGAAAAACAAGGCTTCATGTGACTATGGGGTTCTCACCAGAAAACATGAAGATAAGAAGTCAGTGGAACAACATTTGAAAAGTGCTGGGAAGGAATATCTTCCAAACTCAATTCCATGTCCAACAAAAATATCATGATTGGGAAGTAGAAAAATCTAGGCAAAGTCTTGGCCAATGGTCCTGATCAGCAAGAAATGGAAAAGGAAAACTCTTCAGGCTAATGGGAAATTATGTAAGAGAGACGAATCTTCAACATGAAATAAAACACTAAAATTAGTAAATGGCTGAATAAATATAAAGGACCATCCCTTTCCTCCTAAGAAATTTAAAATGCTTTTTAAACTTTACTTTTTAAAGTAAAAGCCATAACAATGGTGGGGTTTTTGAGGCAAAGTGCTTAACAAATACAGTAAACTAAAAAATCATGAATTTGAAGAGAACTATATGAGTATAAGACTTTTATATGTCCCTTGTGTAAAAAGAACAACAGTGATTAAGTACACTTAAGAAAATTTAGAAATCTCCAACATAGTGAAAAGAAAACCCACAAACTAAGAAAAAATCTTAGTGAACTGTCCCTCAGACAAAGGACTTCTGTCTAAAACATATAAAGAATTAAAAAAAATCAGACCACCTAAATTCAAAGACCCAATCCAAAAATGGGCATCTGAGATGAATAAACAATTGTCAGATGAAGAAATACAAATGGCAAATAAATACATGAAAAAATGTTCATCATCAGTTGTCATTAGAGAAATGCAAATTAAAACCACACTGAGATATCATCTCACTCCTGAAAGAATGGCCAAGATCAAGAAAACCACCAATGACAAATGCTGCAGAGGCTGTGGGGAAAAAGGAACTCTCCTGCACTGCTGGTGAGAGTGTAGACTGGTGCAACCATTGTGGAGGTCAGTCTGGAGATTTCTCAGAAAGCTGGGATTGTAAGCCCCATCTGACCCAGCTATTCCACTCCTAGGAGTATTCCCAGAAGAACTGAAAGCATCATACCACAGTGATATATGTGCACCCATGTTTATAGCAGTGCAATTTGTAATAGCCAGATCTTGGAAACAACGTAAGTGTCCATCAACTGAGGAATGGATAAAAAAGTTGTGGTATTTTTATACAATGGAGTACTACTCAGCTATAAAGAATGATCACATTGAGGTATTTATAAATAAATGGATGCAGCTTGAGACCATACTCATAAGTGAGATAAATCAAACTCACATGTATAAATACCAAATAGTTTCCCTAGCATAAGAAATGATAAGAATATATAAAAGTATGTGGTAGTCATGATTCCCAATCATATTGGTTTGAAGCCAAATAATGTTTTCACTCATTAATTGGAATGGTTTTAATCTGGGTTGTTCGATTTTATTGTCATGATAGTATGAATAGCAATTTTGAAGAAAACAAGACATCATAATAGCTAGTGCTGATTTAATATCATCTTGTCTTGAAGTTCCATCAAGCTGTTGTTCGTCGATTTCCATGGGTTTTAACATGTTGTATCTTATTATATTTTACTATATGTGATAGTATAAACAAAAATTTTTATAGGCAAAGAGATAATATAGAAACCATTGTTTGTTTTCTGTTAGCTGGTTCTAAATACCCTGTAATTTTTACATTCTCTTGAATGGCTTCACACTGTCTTATATGTTTGATGCAATAGTATAGAAGTTATACTCAAATAATTCAAGGAAAGAGACACTATGGTGACTACTATTATGTCAGGTTATCTGGTGGTGAAACACAATGATGCTTAAATTGTTCGGTTCTGACCTGTGTTGTTTTGTTACTATGTCCTCTTTTATCTCAATCTCCCATTTTTTAAATTAATTTATTTTTTCTTATTTTTTAATTAAGGGAAAACTAAATTTAAAAATAGCAAGATATATTACAGTAACTTTTTTGTTTTCCTATTAAACTGATTTTCCTATTAAACTGAACCCCAGTATTGCTCTCCCCAGATTGTTCTGTCTGATTTTACTATATTCTGTTTTGCTTGATAGTATCAAGTTTGAAAATATAGGCAACCACTTTGAAGGCAATAAGATTTACTATGATGCCCATTATGGTTTGACTATTATCTTCTTTTGAAGTCCTGTAAGGTCTCCAGTGTAGGTTTTATTGGTCTTGTTCTGTACTGTTTTGTTCAACTCTATTATACCTGATGATATAGGCAACTCTTTTCAAGATAGCAAGAGGCATAATGGTAATCATTTTTGATCACCTGGTATTCTATTTTTGCATCATATACTATGTCCATCCTTCTGTTCTAACTGACTCTGTTTTGTTTTGTCATATTTGGTTTTATTCTCTTCACAAAAAAATAAGAACTATGGGAGTAATAAAACCCAAAAAGTGTAATTGTTATTGTAAAAAAGAGAGGAAAAGAAAGTGCTCTAAAGGATATAACTGCATGTATATTTAAGTGTGTAGGACAAAAAACCTTATTACTGAGGTTTTGTTGGATCATTGAATAGAACTGTCTGCAATCTCACTGTATGAATGTCCACTTTGTATGCTTTAATTTTGTAATTTGGACAACTGTTTCTAAGATGACAATTATGTAATCTATTAAGTAGTGATTTCTTACTGTATATTTTTTTCTTGAAATTCTGTACTGTACTATTTGTACCCTTTTACTGCTTTTGGTTTTTTTCTCTTTTTTCTCTTTAAATAAAAAAAGAAAATTTAGATTACATTATAATATCTACACCAACAAATAAAAACACAATACAAAAAATAGCTAAAAACAATAAATCAGTTAAAATAAAAATAGAAAAGATGTCTAAGGAATAAGCCTTAGACCCACCAACAAAAAGATTAGAAAAATAAAGTGAATATAAAATGGGAAGGTTTACATGTCAATTGAAAAACACAAGAGAATGGTATATCAAAGAGGAAGAATTGGTCACCTTTCTCAAGTGTGGATGACAGTGAGGTATATGAGATCTAAAAAGTAACTGATGCACTTTACAATGAAGGGTTCTTTGGTGATATTTGCATTAGTTTCAAAGGAATGGTGAGATAATCTAACTACAGTGGGCTCAAAACAATGAAGGGAAGGTGGTGCATGCCTGTAATCCCAAGTACTCCGAGACTGAGGCAGGAGGATCACCATGAGTCAGAGGCCAGCCTGGGCTACATAATGATTTCAAAGCCAACTGGGACCACATAGCAAGACTGTCTCAAAAAACAAACAGAAAAAAGGTAATGTGGGAAGAGAAATGAGAAACTGAGCATAAACATTTTTGACATTTTGCTAACAAAGGAAGGGAAAAGGAGAGCTATGTCTTGAACGAAAAGCAGGAACAAAAGTTGTTTCTTTTCAATAAAAGTGTTATGATTTTTAACATTTCTTGAAAATTTATCCTCCTTATTTGGCTGTGACAATAAATTCTTTTGGAAAAGGAGCTTGAAGAGTAGGCAGGTAGCCTGGTGTGTTGGCACACTCCTGGAATCCCAGCACTCGGGAGACGAGGCAGGAGTGTCACCATGAGTTCAAGGTCATCCTGGGCTACAGAGCAAGGTTAAGGCCAGACTGAACTACACAGTGAGACTCTGTTTCAGAAAAACAAAAATAAAAATAGTAGGAAGGAAGAGAACTACTCCTCCCATTGATTTTACTTCTTTTGCTCATTCCTTTCTGTAGATGCTTCCTTTTCTTACGTTCTTCTCTCCCTCACCCAGAGAAGCCAGATAAGCTCGCACTTGCCTTTAACCACAATCATCCAGACTATACTCTAGTTCATCCTATCTTTTAACTTTCAGCTTTGTTTCTAATGATCTCCTGAACTTCTCCACGTCTGATAGCTTCCTCTAATGTAAAAATTCCAAGAATAGTCTTCCCTCACCAAATCACTTCCCAACCAACCTATCTTCCCAGTGATACCAACTTTCTACTGCCTCAAAACATGTAATATAATTTTTAAAAGTCATCTGATAATCTTAAATTCATCCCTTTGACATATATATTTACTCATAGAAGAGAAATGTGCCCCTAATCTTTGATAGTTCTTCTCTACTTACAGCATTCTACATAATTTTTTGCTATGAATTTTCTTTTGGTAAGATCTCTTAGTCGACAACTCTCAAATAAACCTAAATTTGTACATGTGACTTTGAAATTATCTATTATCTGCCTATCTATATATGAGCTTTCAATATATCTTCTCATTGTCCATAATTATCAATTATCAACATCCTGCCTTTGATTATGCCGCTAACAGAACCAGAAATGCTCTCCATTATTCCTCCTCACTTACAGATTCCACTTATCCTACCCTGTAAATCCTTCAAGACTCAGCTTGTTTTTAAATACCTTGACAAAGTCTTTGTGGACAATTCCAGAGCTCACTGAGCTTCTTATATTCCTTGCAGTTTATGATACCACATAATTCATTATTTAGGTTCTACATTGGCACGTTGGTATCTGTTTCATGTGAGTTAGTCCTGTTGTCTTAACTACATGGATTACAAGCCAGGTACATAACAAGCAGACTCACTATACTGTAGTTGTTTAATTGATTAGATTTACCCATGTTAAAAAATATGGTGAGAACCATGAGTACAATTCATTCTAATATAGTAAAACAAAAATGTATTTATAAACAACAATTCTCATGTCCCATCACCAACAACATCCATTCCTGAATGTGAAATTTGTGCAAGGAAAAGCCAGTTAATTTAACGTTTGTTGCATGGCACAGCCTTTGGACAGGAGACACAAGGGTTATTGGTTCTAACATAATCAAATTTCAAGTTTAGTTCATAACAGTGGATGCACTTTGTCCTTTCAACTTATCAATTCAAAATAACTTACAGTAGTCATTTCGAAGCCCAGTAAGATGAATCTTCACCTCTGGTTGCCATATGGGATAATTCACATCTCTGAGCTTTTTAAGGTGGAAAGATTTATCTCTGACTCCATCTCTGCAGCCTACAAGAAACAAACAGTTTTACATATCTCTTTGATTCAGAAAATACAGTATTTATCTTAAGAGCACTACAAGATCTTAGAGTGGGAAACAAAGTCATTATAAAACCACAGTACCAACAATAAGGAAGGAAAGGTAGTAAAGAGAACGTCCATATTAAACAACAATATTAAAAATTATGCAGTGGCAGTTTCTGATTAAAAATACATGAGGGTTAGTCCTAAAGGTAAATGACAGGCCTTACGGGGAACAAAGAGCTATTACATTATGCTTTGAATATTTATTCAGTCATTTGAGATTCTAAAATCAAAATGAGGTTTTACATCTCTATATGTGCATCACATGTATACATAATTTACAGCTTTTAGGCTTATTCTGAGTCTTTGTCAACAAATAGCTGTTGGTTTGTTGATTCTAGCTTTTTCTCTCATTATTAGCATATGAAAGGACACCAAGTGACTACTTCTGGTTAATCTGAGATCATATCTTTTGTTTTTAAGTTTTCACCAAAAGGCTCCACTAAGTCCAACCACAAGCCACTGCCTTTTCATCTCCAACCTCAACCACTCAGCTTATGATCAAACTGATAATGATAATATTAGCAGAAAACAAAGCAATTTAGGTGACAGTGGTCTCGGTTACCAAATGGTTTCTGATAAAAGCATGAAGAGTGTCACACAATGAAGAAACTAAGAAACCACATTATTACTCATAAATTCCTACCTTAGTGTTAGCAATGAATATCTGCCATTGTGAACAGAACCAAAAGCTTACTAGAAATATTTAGGCCTGCTAATAAAATATGAAAGTTTTTTTAAAGACAATATCCAAGGAATCAAAAAACAGTCTTCCTAGAATTAACTAAAATTGAAGATACGTAAGTGTAATATAAAAAAGTCAGTTTCCTTCTTCTATATTAGCAATGAACAAGTAAACTTTGAATTTTTAAAAATCCCTTTTATAATTGTACTCAAAATCTAAAATACTTGGGTATAAATCTCAAAAATACTTATAAGATATATATGAAAACACTAAATACTCTGAAGAAAAAAATCAAAGAAGATCTAAATACATGGACAGATATTTCCATGTACAAAGATAGAAAATGCTCAATTATTGGGGTATCAGTTCTTTCCAATTTGAGATGTAGATTCAACACATTCCCAATCAAAAGCCTAGCAAACTATTTTATGAACATCGACAAACTAATTCAAAAGGTTATATTGAGATGTGCAGACCCAAAATAAGCAGCCCAATATTGAAACAGAAAAACAAAAGGAAATCATTGTCACTATCCAACTTCAAGACTCACTGTACAGCTACACTAATCATGACATTACAGTATTGGCAAGAGATTAAACAAATAGATCAATGGAACACAACAGAGAACCTACAAGCAGACCCACACAGATACAGTCAACTGATTATTGACAAAGGGGCAAAATCAATATAGCAGATAAAAAATAATTCCCCAACAATGGTGCCAGGATAACTAGGCATCCACACGTAAAAAAATTAATATAGGTATAGATCCTACTACTTTACAAAAATTAACTCAAACTGGATCATAGACATAAACTATCAATCTTCTAGAAGATAACACAGACAAAAACCTGCATGAATGGAATTTAGCTATAAATTTTTAGATACAACACCAGAGTCACAATCCATGAAAAACATACTTGATAAACTCAACCTCACTAAATTAAAAACATCTGCTCTGTAAAGGTACTGTCAAGAGAATGAAAAGACAAGCCACAGAGCAGAGAAAAATATTTACAAAGGACAAATTTGACAAAGGGCTGTTGTCTGAACTATACAAAGAAACCCTTAAGGTCTTAAAGCTTAACAATAAGAAAATGAACAGTCACATCTTAAAATGGTGAAAGATCTGGACAATTCACCAAAGAATAATGATAGAATAAGAAGCATATAAAAAGATACCAAATAGGGTATGTCGTTAGAGAATTGCAAGGTGAAACAAGATAGCACTACACTTGTATCACAATGGCCCAAACCCCAACATTGACAACAAATACTGCAAAGATATGGAGCACTGAAACGTTCATTCTTTGCCACTGGAATGCAAAAGGGCAGTCACTCTGGAACACACCTTGCCACTTCCTTAGAAAACTAAATATACTCTTGTCATACAATCTAGCAACTGTGTTCTTTGCTTTTTATTTAGATGAATTGAAACCAGATGTCTACACAAAAATCTGGAACATGAGCCAAGCATGGTGGCACATACCTATAATTCCAACACTCTAGAAGGCCGAAGCAGGAGGATTCCAAGTTTGAACCCAGCCTCAGCAATTTAGCAATTTAGTGAAAGTCTGTCTCAAAATAAAGGCACTTAGGATGTCATTCAGTGAAAAGGCCCTGGGTTCAATTCCCAGTACTGAAAAGAAAAAAAAAAATGTTCAGTGTTTGTAATAGGTTTATTCACAATAGCTTTTTATTCTAAGACTTGGAAGAAACCAAGATGACCTTCAGGAAGTGAATGAATAAAATCTGGTACCATAAGATATATACAAAGTGTGATTGAAAAATACAGTAAATGCTTACACTTTTTAAATGTATTACAATAAAAGATACACTGCACCCTCAAAAGTCCCCTGATTTAAAACACATCTATCCCACTTCTTGCCAGCCATTTTCTGAAGCAGTTCTTAACACCTTTTTTTTTTTTTTGTACCAAGGATCAAACTCACAACCATGTGCTTACAAGGCAAGCGCTTATGCCACTGAGCTAAATCCCCAACCTAAAAGTCCTCTTTCATAAGTGTCTTTAGTTATATTGTCATGGCTGCCTCACATCCTATATTGATTCAAAATATTTACCTTTCATTGTCATTTTGACTTTGGAAAGAATCAAAAGTCACATGGTGCTGAGTTTTGTGAATTAGATGGATAAAGACGTACCACATTTCAAGCCTATTTTTCCACTGGCTGGCAGTTAGAAACAGAACTCACCATATTTCTTTTTATCATACGTCATAAGACAATAATGAAAGAGGGTTTCTTTTTTTTTTTTTTAAGGAGAAAAGAAAAGAAAGAAAAAAAAACAGTGAAGGGGTACAAGTTATACAGATTTACAGAAGAAAAAAATGCACAGTAGGAAATCACTAGTTAATGGATTACATATTGCCATCTTAGAAATAATTGTTCAAGTCACAAAATTAAAGCTTGTAGAGTGGACATTCCAACAATGATACTGCAAACAGTTCTGTTCAATGATCCAATAAAACTCTGTGATATCATTTTCTATCTTATACATTTAAATATACATGCAGTTATATAGTTTAGAGCACTTTCTTTTCCTCTCTTTTGTACAGTGACTATTGCACATTTTGGGTTTCATCGCTCCCACGGTTCTTATTGCTTTTTTGGAAGAGAGTAAAACCAAATGTGACATAACAGAACAGAATCGGTCAAGTCAAAAGGGTGGACATAATAGATAATATAAAAACATAATACAAGGTGATCAACAATGGTTACCATAATGCCTCCCGCTATTTCTAATAGAATTGCCTATATCATTAGTTGTAATACAATTGAACAAAATCGTAAAGAATAAAACCGACAAAACCGAAACATTGGAGATATTGTAGGTCTTCAAAAGTAGATAAAAGTCAATGAGAATGGGTGTTATAATGAATCTCATTATCTTCTCAGCTGATGCCTAAACTTTCGAACCTGATACTATCCAGCAAAACAGAATAGAGGAACCTCAGTCAAAAGCAAGATGGTGAGAGTAATACAGGGCTTCAAATCGAGATAATAGAAAGTCAAAGTGGGTTACTATATTATATCCTGCTATATTTTTCCCTTTAATTAAATGGATAAAAATAAAAAAGTAAATAATGGAGTGGAGATTGAGAAAAAAGAGGGCATAACAGCGAAACAGGGCAGATCAAAACATAACCATTTAAGCAGAATAGTGTTTCACCACCAGATATTTCCAACCCAAAAGTAGTTACCATATTGACTCCCTCCCTGAAGTCCTTGAGTACAACTTCATATACTGTAGCATTAAGTATATCAAAACAATGTAAAACCATTTAAGAGAATGACAGCATTATAGAGTATTTAGAATCGACTAACAGAAAATGAACAATGGTCTCTGTATAATCTCCTTGTCTTTAAAAGGTTTTTGCTTATACTATCATACATAACAAAATCCAATAAGATACAACCTGTTTAGACCATTGGAGACAGAAGAACAAAAGCTAGATGAGACTTCAAAACAAGATGGTACTAAATCAGCATTACCTATTAAGATGTCATTTTCTCCAAAATAGCTGTTCCTGTCATCTAATCTTCTCTGTCTCATTTCTGTTGAGCTCTTTTTCTGTCAGTAGCTGTCAGTTTGTCTTCTTCATTTTGTTCTCTGCTCCATTCGTTGTGGCCTCCCCGCCACTATTTCTGGGTTCTTTGTATTTTTCTTTTTTTAGAATATCCTGCAATACTTTCTGTAGGGTTGAATTGGTGGTTACAAATTCCCCCAGTTCCTCTTTATCCTGGAAGCACCTCATTTTTCCATCAATTTCCAGGGACAGTTGTGTAGGATATCTCAATCTTGGCTGGAGATTATTATCTTTCAAAGCTTGAATTATTTCCCCCCATGCTCTTCGTGATTTGATGGTTTGTGCAGAGAAATCTGCTGTAATTCTGATGGGTGTTCCCTTGTAAGTGATCTGTTTCTTGTCTCTTACAGCTTTTAATATTCTGTTCTTGTATTGAATTTCTGGAATTTTTATTATTATATGCCTGGGTGTTTCTCTGTTAGGGTTGTAGGTAGCTGGGGTCCTGTATGCCTCATACATCTGAGTATCTTTACTTTTTGCTAAATTAGGAAAATTCTCCTGGATTATTTCTGTGAGTAGCTTTTGTAGTTCACTTGTTTGTGTCCCTACTTCTTCTTTTATGTTCTTAATCCTTAAGTTATGGCTCCTCTTATCATCTTCTTGTCTTTGTATTATTGCTGTTTGTTTCTTTGTTATTTTTAAGAAGTTTTTCATTTCATTCTCCCATATTTCAAGTCTGCCCTCCAGTTCAGATAGTCTGTCCTTAGTTTCTTTCAAGCTGTTATGCCAGTCTTGGATAGACTTCTTAATTTCTTGATAGTCCCTTTGAACCTGCTTCACATACTCAATGCTTTCTCTGTTTTCTCCATCAAGCAATTCTCCCCTCTTTTTCTGTTCTTCCATTCCACCATCTGTTTTTTCCTGGGTGGTGCTTAGCATTTCTCTAACTATTCTGCATACTTCTAGCTTCAGGTCATTGATAACTTCATTCCTGAATTGGTCTATGAGGCTCTCTATATGGCGCTTAATGTATATTGGTGCGGTGTCCACTATTGCCTGTTTCTCAGGATTGGGGGCCGAGGAGCCTTTTTTGTTGCTTCCCTTCCCCATATTTTCTGTTCCTTATAAAATGCAAGCTTACATAGGAGGCCCGGCTTCCCTGCCTGTCAGCCGCAGCCTGACCAAATTGCACTGGCTAGTTGTTCCCGCCCACCACTGCGCACCAGGGAGTTGCGGAGGAGGCAGCCTACGCGGGAGTCAGTCGCTCCTCCGGGCCACCATCAGGCTCTGGGATCTGGGTTAGGCCAGCCTAGGGAGTCCGCCAGCAGCGTCACTCAGGCCAGGCACTTTTCACCAATCCTGTCCGAGAGGGGAATGTGTGGCTGGAGTTGCCACCGCGCCCTGCTCTTACAGGACTGCCTGAGCCCAGAAAGTCCTCCGCTGGAGTCAAACTGTGGTAGGGGGTCAGTTTCTCACTCACCTCGCCACCAGTCAGTTTTCGTGTACGCCTCCTTGTCTGTCCTGTTTTCGACTCCGTTCGCAGACTCCCGTTCCCAGAGCTCTGCACGTCTCTCCTTGCCGAGCCGCTGTGGAGGCAGCCAGCCGCCGGGCGGCAGGAAACCCAAATCGCGGTTTCCAATGGCGCGGGGTCAAGCCTCTACACCAAGTCTTTTCTGTTCCTATTTTAGCGCCAGGACTGTATTCTAAGTTGGTTTCTCTCAGCCCAGTTCGTTCCTGAGTCAGCAGAGCATATCTCTACTGGTTCGTGTCTCCTTAGTCCACATCATTCCTGGCCTCTGAGCCGAGCCTTTCAGAGAGCCTCCGGTAGTTGCTGTTGTCTGTCCGCCATGTTCTCCCAGAGTCCTGAAAGAGGGTTTCTAAAACTGCTTCACAAAGTGGCAATAATGAAAGGACAGAGTACTTGATACAGGTGGGAGTTCTCCTAGAGGGATTAATGCCAATGTGTTGTTTACTGTAATAATTGTTTTAATTATTGATCATGCCACATACTGATATTCAGCACTGAACATAATGAACTTTCAACACATGAAAAAGCACAAAGGAAACTGAAAAGTATATTAGTAAGTGAAATAAGCCAATCTGAAAAGGTTAACTATTGAATGATTCCAACTATATAACATCATGAAAAAGAAAACGTATGAATATAAAACAAAGGCTACCAAGGGAAAGAAAAAAATGAATATACAAAGCATGTAAGATTTTTAGGACAGTGAAACTATTCTGTCTGATATTGTGATACTGAATGCATATCATTATTCATTTGTAAAAATGTATAAAATATAAAAAATCTATCAAAAAAACTAATAAACTCATATAATGATTTAATATCTTCAAAACTCTGAGTACTACTAGAATTTATGGACAAATTTTCAATCAAGTAAAAAATCAGAAAAATATTTTCAGAAATACTGGTTCTAACATCAGAGAAGTCCCAGGATGACAAAGGTACAACTAGACCAGCCTGTTTAGCAGGCTTGCAGGGAGGTCACCAAGGAAAAGAGGGAGCTGAAGAGAAAGTGCATGAAAAATGTTATTATTAGCTGTGGAAAAAATTAGCATAATTAGAGGAAATATTAATAGTTTAATGAACATGTTGTACAAGACAGTTATCCTAGAAAGGAAGAACACTTACAGTGACTACTCGGCTCAGTATAAAATTAGTTGTATAGTAATGTTATATAAACACTATGAATTTTTGTTTTGTAAAGTATGTTATAAGCATGTCCAGAGATTGAAGAAAAAATGAAGCAGAAGGAAAACTAAGTTCTTATATACTAAACTAAATCATGGCGATGTCCAAAATTTTAAGAAATAGCAGTTTACCAATATTATATAGAGAACAGATATAATATCAGGGGAGTAACTGGAAGAGCTAAAAGTGGTCGCCTCTAGAAAACAGGACTTAGAGATAGAGCTAGTTAGGACTGAGGATTATGAAACTTGTCCAAAACTCAGTATCATGTTTATTTTATTTAAGAATATAAATATTAACACAGTTTAAAGGAAGGAAGAAATGAAGGGGTCAGGGAAGAAGGGTAGGAAAGAAGGACAAATGGAAAGCTTTTGCCCCCTACCTTTCCAAACACATTGGGATTCCTGGCAAAGCTGCATTTTCCCATTAATTTGCTGGATCACTTTCTGGGCTGAAAACAGCTGGTTTAGGCATTTCTGAAAATAAATACATATAAAGTGTGGGAGACAACCCAGTGACTCCCTTTGAATCCAAAACAATTATTGTGACTTTGATGATTTGGAGTCTCATTTCCTTATACTGATATGTAAAAAAGTATAAAGTATTTCCTTCTCTCTATAGCCCCCTTAAAACAATTCCACTGCTACCCTAATTGGATTATATAAATTGATCCTTCTGCATATCTTTATTTCTGCAGTTTACAGAGATGCCAATCTTGCACCTGGCTAGCCAGCTCAAATTACTCATTTAATTCCCGCCGTCCTGACTATCACTCATCCCTGAGCCACCCACCTTCTTCACAAGATAATAAATGCTGGTAGAGGCCTAGAATCAAGGCCTTTGTCCACAGGTCCTCACAAGGATTGGATTTAGGACCCCTTGGCTGCTCTTAATTTGGAATATGCTTTTGTGCCTTTACTCTCCATGTGGATGGCATGGGTGATGGTAGATTGAAATTAACCTGCTGGGATTCCAATAACATCTCAATAGGATTATAAATATAAATCCTATTTTGGACTGTGAGGAAGACTAGAGAGAGGATTACAATACTTATAATTCCCTCAACAATTCCATTTAGCAGGTATTGTTTAGCCAGGCTAAAATCCTATTACCCTTCTAATCTAAAATTCTATTTAGTCTATAACCAACCACAGGCCATGGACAACATCACTTGCCAGAAATGAGGACAAGTCACATAAATTTCAAATAACTTGCCTCAATTTCCACAGGCACAAAAATACAATTGCTATCTCAGTTGAGCCAGTAGATAAAATGCACTCCTGACATTCTGTCATCAACTGTGATTGAGACCAGTTGGAAAAATCAATAATGAAGAGAGAGAAAAGTTCTCACTGGAATTTTCCAAAAGCACTAATGTATAGGTGAGGCAGAAAAGATGTTTTTTCATTCAGTCATTCAAAACAATATACGATATTTAATCTTATGTGTACGGCAATCACTGGATCTCCCAAGTTTACACAGATGTCTCTTTGACAGCACTGATTTAGTATTTTGGTTTCTCCCTCAACATTATATCACATTATAAACACTGCTTGTCAATGAATCATGGTTTTTATGTATTTAAAACAGAAAAAATAACTATAAAGCAAATTTATCCAGTCTCAGCACTTTGGAGCAGATAATTCATTGTCAAGAGAGCTGTCCTGAGCACTGCAGAATACTTGGCAAATCCCTGAATTTACCTACTAGCTGCCCGACTGACTGTGAAAACCAAAAACTTTCTCAGACATTGCCAGATGTACTTTGGGACACAAAATCACCCTCAGTTGAAAACCACTGGTATAAAATTACATTTTTTAAATTGCCTGCTGATCAGTAATTCAATTTTACTCTTTACAGGTTCACTTCTGCAGAGTGCTAAAGAATCCCACAAAGCTGGACAAAGCACTGTCCAGTTATGTGCCTTACTCTATATACCCAGGAATGTTCTTTTCTGAATGAGATACACTTATTCCTTTAGATAGCAGCTCAGCACAAAGCCCTCACTGTGAAAACACTCTCCACATGATCGGTGAGGGCCAATAAAGACTACAATGCTTTATGTAAAAGTATTCCATCTCTTTCAATGCTACTTGATGTCTAGCCATGGTAACAGTTTCCATTATGCCTTGCCAGAGTTATTCGGTGCTACTTGGATAATGTTCTATCTGTATAACAATTTCTCTAACAGGTATCTTGCAATCCCACAGACAGAGCCACCAACCTTACTGCTACCAGTTACCAAAGAAGGTAAGGGAAAGGAAAAAGGAAGTCTTGAGGGTCAGGGCAGTAAATCTCCAGTCAACAGTGGAAGATGGAAAGGACAGTGGTGTTAATAATCTAGTGCAAGGATGAGGCAAACTGCACCCATAATTATCTCAGTAGAATTCCCTATTGATCCTCTAACCCTAAATCCACACACAACAATGAGGCCTTAACAAAAGACTTGTTCTAATACATTTGTTTCCAATTTTGTAGGTGTTCAATAATTTGAATTTACTCTCCTAATATCTTATTTTTCCTGTAGAATGTTACATATGGCAAACCCAGATGGAGACACACACTAAAAAATAATAATTTAGCTTAAATTGAGAAATTACAACTTTTCTAGTTAAAAGGTTTTAAATGAAACATTGATTCCTTCAGACACTCTTCATTAAATTTGGTAAACCTGAAAACATACTATTGGTATGATGTGCCCACAGTACTTAGACTGTGTTTCTAAGGTCTTAAAATGATGAGATACCGAAAAGAATAAATTAACTTGAACAGACCCAAGCCTCTCTCTGTGAGTCAATGCCATTTGTAGACTGGCAGGAGAGAGAACAGGACCACATCAGGAAGCAAGCCCAGTCTGGAAGCCAGCACCATGCCCAGGCCACTACCAGACTGAGAACAGCTAGACTCCAGCCCCTTCCAGCACTCAGGCTGGCAAACAAGAAACCAATCCTCCCACAGCTGTAAGCTTATCTAAGAAACACAGGCTATGATGATAGCTATTAGATGCAATTAGAAATGCAATTGGATGTTTATGGTGCTTTGGTGTTTCACCAACATTGCAGGTCTAGGGTCAGTGGTCTGATCATAGATTCAGAGGATAGCAGTATGCAGTGTGGCATCTAGGGAGGATCTCTTTCTGAGGGTTGTAGCCATTGTTGATTTCCTATGGTCTTGTTTTGCTGTCGCATATCATTTCCACTGTTTTGTTGGATTGGGTCTTATTCTCTTTAGTTTTGTTTATGTTAAATACGATGGCAGGAGCAGCTATTTCAAAAATAGCAAGATATATTATGGTAACAATTTTGGATTATTATTGGCTTGTTTTGAAATTCTTTATCACATTGATTGTCTGTTTTTATGGTTTCTATTCTATTCTGTTCTGTTTGGTTTTTACTATGTCCAAAGTTATCTGCAGCTATTTTTAAGACATCAAAGAGCATTATGGTAACTATTGCTGATTTCATGTTTTAAGTCCTGTATCTCTTACACTCGTTTGTTTTGATTGGTTTATTCTGTTTTATCCTCTTTAAACTAAAAAAAGAATGAATCAAGAGACAGACAACAACAAAGAATTATGGAAAATATCCAAAAGACCACTTTCTAAATGAACAATTGAATTTATTCTGAGGTCCTAAAGGGTGGACCTAGTCACCATATGAGTTGGAAATGACTGTAAAAAGAGAGCTCTTGGCTGAGAGTAAGCAAACCAGAGTGTGTATAATTTTGTTGTTCTTTTTTATCTTGACTTCTTTAATGATTATTCTCATTTTTACTTTTTGAATGGTCCTAATAACATTTTCTTATGTACTTGAGGAATTTTTTTTTAATTTTTTTATTTTTGAAGTACTTCTATTTATATCCTTTGCTTGCTTGGTTGCTTGTTTTATTTTTGCTCTATTTTGATGTTTTGGTCAGGAATCCATCACTTCCATCATTAGCTAAGAAACTCTTGCCTAATATTTGGAACTCAGGTGTCCGAGGTTCTCAAAATATAGCATCTTCAGTCTTTTTCTTTGCCTACCTGGCCTTTGGAGGCAACATTTTCCTTCCCACCTCTCTCCAGTGCATGAGATGCCTTGCAAAATTGCAGGGAAGAGTTATTTGATTCAGAGCTGCCTTTGACAGGAGTCTTCAGTGGTTCTTTGTGAGATCCTACAACAGAAACATTTAGCTTTGAATTTGGATTTTAAAACCAGATAATCACTTGGATTAGAGGTCTAGTCGTAGCATCTTCAAGAGTAGAACAGAACAAGTTGGCCCAAGTTCTTGTGTCAAATCCCAGGAAGAGAGTGGAAGGGAGGGAAAGAAATGGAGTCTTATCTAAAACGCTGTGTTTATAATTGAACACTCATGAGAAACTGCCTCAGTGGCCTCTCTGACAGGGAGGAAATTCCAGGATAAAGCTCTGATCCTACCTATAGCCACAACAGAGAAAATGCTTTTACTTCTTCATGCCAAAAACAGATTTGCATATTTGGAGAATGGACAGAAAGATCAGTTTAAAATGATGGTGCAGGTGTGGAGCTTCCAACAAGTAGGCAGGCGCAGGCTATCCCCGGAGCCCAGCCTATTTGGGACTCCTGCACCTCACCATCGGTGTGTAGAGGAAGGGCTGGGTGGATCTGGGGCGCCTGCATCCGCCTCCCCATGTGTCTGGAGGACTGTGGATATCTCAGCAAGCAGGGGAGCATCGCAGGTTCCAGAGGCCCTGCGGCCTGTGGTAAGTGCTCAGCGCACTCTGCCCAAAGCCCAGATTGTTCGGGACCCTCCAGGCTTCCAGGTGCAGTGAAGTGGATAAGTGGGTTTGAGGCATCTACATCCCCCTCCCCATCCCAGCTGCACTTGGAGAACTGTGGAGCTTCCAACAAGTAGGTGGGCGCACGTTATCCCAGGAGCCCAGCCTATTTGGGACTCCTGCACCTCACCATCGGTGTGTAGAGGAAGGGCTGGGCGGATCTGGGGCGCCTGAATCCGCCTTCCCGTGTGTCTGGAGGACTGTAGATATCTCAGCAAGCAGGGGAGCATAGCAGGTTCCAGAGGCTCCGTGGCCTGTGGTAAGTGCTCAATGCACTCTGCCCAAAGCCCAGACTATTTGGGACCCTCCAGGCTTTGGGGTGCAGTGAAGTGGATAAGTGGGTTTGAGGCATCTACATCCGCCTCCCCATCCCAGCTGCACTAGGAGAACTTTGGAGCTTCCAAAAGCAGGTGGGCGCACAGTGTCACTGAGGCCCAGCTTATCTGGAATTACGGAGTTCTAAACAGGCAGAAGAGGGCAATTGGTTCTACAGGCCCAGTGGCTTGGGGTAACGGGGTGCCAGAGTCTCAGGAGCTGCGAACATAGAAGGGGATTTCCAACAGACCCTGAGGAAGCTTTCAAATACCACTTGAAACACAGAAATATAGGAAAATGACAAAATGAAAGCCCAAATTACAACCTCAAACCTCCAGCCCATCTCAAGAAACCCTAGGAGCAAGGTATATAGAAGAAAATATATGCCATTCACCTCAAATATTGGACACAATAGCTACTGAAATTAACAAGCAACTCCAGGAAGCTTTAAAGAAATTCAAACTCGAAATAATCTCCCAGGTAAAAGAAGAAATGATAAAAGAAATGAAAAAGATTCTGAATATATCTAAAGAAAACACAGTTAAAAAATTGGAGGAACTAAACAAAAAGATAGAATCCCTAGATGAGCAGTATAAGAAACAACAGAATACATAATGCAGATGCACAGAGATATACAGGGAATAAAAAACTCCACTGAAAGTTGTACAAACCACCTCAATGAAAGTGAAGATAGAATTTCAGACCTTGAAGACAGGATTGCAGCTAGTGAACAGGAAAGGAAAGATCTTTTTAAAATAACAAGGAATCAGGAAACAACAATTCAACAACTGCAAGATGATGTAAAGAAAAATAACATAAGAATGATAGGGATTAATGAAAAAGAAGGAGACAACATAAAGGATGTCAAGAGGATATTTAGAGAAGTAATAGCTGAAAATTTCCCAAGCATGAGATCAGAAACCGACATCAGGATCAGTGAAGCATACAGAACTCCAAATAGTCATAATCAAAATAAAACTACACCCAGACATATAATAATCACCATCCCAGATATCCAACACAAGAATAGATTATTAAAAGCTGTCAGAGAGAAAAGACAGATCACTTATAAAGGAAAACCTATCAGAATCACAGCAGACTTCTCAGTACAAACAATAAAGTCAAGAAGACCATGGAGTGAAGTATTCCAGATCCTAAAGCAAAATGATTTCCAACCTAGACTGATGTATCCTGCAAAACTATCATTCAAAATTGATGGTGAAATATGATACTTCCATGACAAAGAACAGCTGAAGAACTTCATGAACACCAAACCAACCCTGCAAAAAATATTTAAAGACAGTTTAGATACACAAAGGAAAAAACCACTAAGCAAAGCAGATAGTTAAACAGAACAGAAAGATAAAGATGCAAGAGCAGAGAGATAACATGTCAACAATAAACCAGCATTTAACAGTAATAACCATTAATATAAATGGTCTCAATGCACCAATCAAAAAAAAAAAAAAAAACAGACTCACAGAATGGATCAAGAAACAAAATCCAACCATATACTGTTTACAGGAAACCCATCTAACCCAGAAGGATACTCACAGACTGAAAGTCAAAGGATGGAAAACAATACTTCATGCAGCAAGAATCCAAAAAAAAGCAGGAGTAGCCATTCTGTTTGCAGACAATGTGAACTTTAAACCAACAATGACAATAAAGGACAAAGAAGGTCACTAAATACTCATTAGGGGAAAACTCCAAGAGGAAGAACTATCTATAACTATCTATAACTATCTTAAATATATATGCACCAAACTCTAGAGCACCCAGTTATAAAAGACAACTATTAACAAAAATGAAAACTCAAATTATCAGTAACACAATTGTAACAGGAGACCTTAATACGCCATTGACACCAAGGGACAGATCAACCAGACAGAAAATGAGCAAAGAAATAACAGAACTGAATCACACCTGTGAACAAATGGATTTGATAGACATATACAGAATGTTCCACCCAACAACATCGGAATACACATTCTTCTTAGCAGTACATGGATCATTCTCTAAAATAGACCATATATTAGCTCACAGAACATATTTCAACAAGTGCAAAAGAGTTGAAATCATCCCTTGCATGTTATCGGATCATAGCGCTCTGAACTTAGAAATTAATGATAAAAGATACTGCAAAAATCCTGCAAACACATGGAAACTGAATAACACACTCTTGAGTAATCAGTGGGTCACAGAAGAAATTAAAGAAGAAATTAAACAATACCTAAAAGAAAATGAAAATGCAGATACAACTTACCAGAATTTGTGGGATGCAATGAAAGCCGTCCTCAGAGGAAAATTTATTGCACTGAGTTCTCACATCAGGAAAACAGAACGAATACAAATAAATAACTTGATGCTACACCTCAAACAGCTAGAAAAAGAAGAGCAAGTCAAACCCAAAGCCAAAAGAACAGAGGAAATTATAAAAATCAGAGCAGAAATCAATGCAACAGAGACTAACAATCCAAAGAATCAACGAATCAAAGAGTTGGTTCTTTGAAAGAATAAATAAAATCTATAAGCTGCTAGCCAACCTTATTTAAAAAAAGGGAAGAAAAAGCTCAAATTCATGCAATAAGAAATGAAAAAGGTGAAATCACTACAGACCCAATAGAAATACAGAAGATCATCAACACCTATTTTGAAAACCTCTACTCTCAAAGGTTTGATAACACAGAAGAAATAGACAGATTCTTAGAAACATATAAAGTACCAAAGCTACATCAAGAGGATGTAAAACTGTTGAATAACCCAATCTCTGTTAATGAAATTGAAAATGTAATTAAGTCCTTACTACAAAGAAGAGCCCAGGCCCAGATGGATTCACTGCAGAATTCTACAAGAAATACAAAGAAGACCTAATGCCGACACTCCTCAAACTATTCAATGAAATTGAAAGGGCAGCAATCCTTCCAAAGTCATTCCTGGAAGCAAATATTACTCTAATACCGAAACCTGAGAAAGACCCAACTAAAAAAGAGAACTATAGACCAATCTCCCTAATGAACACAGATGCAAAAATCCTCAATAAAATATTGGCAAATAGGATGCAGCAAATCATCAAGAAGATTATACACCATTCCTGGGATTCATCCCAGGAATGCAAGGATGGCTCAACATACATAAATCAATAAATGTAATCCACCATATCAATAAAGCCAAAAGTAAGAATCACATGATCATTTCTATACATGCAGAAAAAGCCTTCGATAAGGTCCAACATTCATTCATGATAAGAACTTTACAGAAAATTGGAATAGATGGTCTTTACCTCAATATAATAAAGGCCATTTATGACAAACCAACAGCCAGCATCATACTAAATGGCCAAAAATTGAAAGCCTTTACTTTAAAATCAGGCACAAGACAAAGATATCCTTTATCACCACTCCTATTTAATATAGTACTGGAACTACTAGCCAGAGCAATTAGACAAGAGAGAGAAATAAAAGGGGTAAAGATAGGAAAAAAAGAAGTTAAATTATCATTGTTTGCAGATGACATGATACTCTACATAGAAGAACCCCTAAACTCCATTGAAAGACTCTTAGATACAATAAATAAATTCAGTAATGTAGCTGGATACAAAATCAATACTCAGGAATCAATAGCATTCCTATACACGAACAACAAAATCACAGAGAGGGAAATAAGAGAAACCACACTCTTCACATTAGCAAGCAAAAAAATGAAATATTTAGGAATTACTCTTATGATAGAAGTGAAAAACCTATACAAGGAAAATTATAATACCCTGAAAAAAGAAATTGAAGATGATCTCAGAAAATGGAAAGACATCCCTTGCTCATGGATAGGAAGAACAAACATTGTGAAAATGGCCATTATCCCAAAACTGTTATACAGATTCAATGCAATCCCAATAGAAATACCATCAACATACCTTATACATCTAGAGAAATCACTCCTAAAATTCATCTGGAACCAGAAGAGACCTAGAATAGCAAAGGCAATTCTAAGCAGCAAAGGCAAGGCAGGAGGCATCACAATCCCTGACTTGAAGTTATACTACAAAGCAACAGTAGTAAAATCAACATGGTATTGGAATCAAAACAGAGCCGAAGATCAATGGAATAGATTAGAAGATACAACCACAACTACAAACACACTCAACCACCTTATCTTTGATAAAGGAGCCAAGCAGGTTCACTGGAAGAACGACAGTCTCTTTAATAAATGGTGCTGGAAAAACTGGCTCTCCATTTGCCGAAAACTAAAGCTAGACCCGTGTCTATCACCATGTACTAAATTAAAATCTAAATGGGTCAAAGATCTGAATATTAAAACAGAAACACTAAATCTATTGGAAGACAAATTGGGTAGAAACCTTGAAGACATAGGAGTAGGTAGAGAATTCATGAACAGGACTCAAACCGCACGGGAAATAATTCCCAGAATGAATAACTGGGACCACTTCTTATTAAAAAGTTTTTGTATGTCAAAAGAAATCTCCAGCATAGTGAAAAGAAAACCCACAAACTGGGAAAAGATTTTAGTGAACTCTCTCTCAGACAAGGGACTCTTGTCTAAAACATATAAAGAATTAAAAAAACTCAGACCCCCAAAATTCAAAGATCCAATCCAAAAATGGGCATCTGAGATGAATACGCACTTCTCAGATGAAGAAATACAAATGGCAAATAAATTATTGAAAAAATGTTCATCATCATTGGTCATTAGAGAAATGCAAATTAAAACCACACTGAGATACCATCTCACTCCTGAAAGAATGGCCAGGATCAAGAAAACCAACAACAACAAATGCTGGAGAGGCTGTAGGGAAAAAGGAACTCTCCTACACTGTTGTGGGAGTGTAGACTGGTACAACCTTTGTGGAGGTCAGTCTGGAGATTTCTCAAAAAGCTGGGATTGGAAGTCCGATTTATTCCAGCTATTCCACTTCTAGGCATATTCCCAGAAGAACTGAAAGCATCATACCACAGTGATATATGTGCACCTATGTTTATAGCAGCACAATTTGTAATCGCCAGATCTTGGAAACAACCCAAGTGTCCATCAACTGAGGAATGGATAAAAAAGTTGTGGTATTTCTATACAATGGAGTATTATTCAGCTATAAAGAAGGATCACATTGAGATATTTATCAATAAATGGGCACAGCTTGAGACCATACTCATAAGTGAAATAAATCAATCTCGCATGTGTGAATACCAAATAGTTTCCCTAATGTAAGTAATGATTCAAATATATAAAAATATGTGGTAATCATGATTCCCCATTATGTGGCCTTGAAGCCTTATAAAGTTTTCACTTATTAATTAGAAAGGCTTTTTTCTGGGCTTCTTGATATGGAAATATTTGGAGCTATAGTATATGAAGTTTTATTCAAATATTTCAAGGAAAAAGACAGACACTATGGTAACTACTATTAAGTCGGGTTATTTGGTGGTGAAGCACTAGGTTGCTGAAACAGTCATGCTTTGACCTGTATTGTTATATTGTTATTTCCTCTTTTATCTCAATCTCTCCCTTATTCGCTAAAAAAATTATTTAGTTATTTTTTATGTTTGTTTTAATTAAGGGGAAAAATTTTAAAAATTAGCAGGATATATAATAGTAACTATTTTTGATTTCCTATTAACTTGTTTTGAAGTCCTGTAATACTCCCATGATCTTGTTTTGACTGATTAGACTCTGTTCCATTCTGTATGATAGTATCAAGTTTGAGGGTATAGGCAACTACTTTGAAGGCAATAAGATTAACTAAGATGCCCATTCTGGTTTGACTATTGTCTCCTTTGGAAGTCCGGTAATGTTTATAATGCTTAAGTTTTATTGGTCTTGTTCTCTACTGGTTTGTTCAACTTTATAATACCTAATGAGATAGACAATTCTTTTTAAGGAAACAAGAGACATTATGGAAATCATTGTTGATAACCTTGTACTCTGTTTTTACGTCATGTGCTATGTCTATCCTTGGTTTTGACTGACAGCTTTGTTTTGCCATATTTGACTTTATTCTCTCCCCCCCCCCAAAAAAAGTAATAAGAACTAAGGAGTAATAAAACCCAAAATGTGTAAATTTTGCTGTAAAAAAGAGAAGGAAAAAAAGTGCTCTAAAAGATACAACAGCAAGTGTGTTTAAGGGTATTAAATAGCTGACCATATTAATGTTTTTGGTTGGATCATTGAACACAACTGTTTGCAGTCTCACTGTTTGAATGTCCACTTTGTATGCTTTGATACTGTGACTTGAGCAACTATCTCTAAGATGATAATATGTAATCTATTAACTGGTGATTTCTTACTGTTTTGTTTTGTTTTTTGTAGTTCTGTATTACTTGTACCCTTATATCGCTTTGTTTTGTTTTGTTTTTTCTCTTTTTCCTTTTAAATAAAATTTAAAAAAAAAAATGATGGTGCAAAGAGTAGCTGGTTTGCCCAAGCTATGATCATCCTGTCAGGAAATCACAGTGGGATGCTTGCTAGCCATTAATATCACTATGTGATGCTAAACATATCACTTTGCCTCTCACCCTTCCTCTTGTGGAAAGATGTTATAAAGTTAGCTTGAGATAGCATCAGTGGAGTGCTTTCTAAGCTAAAACAAAAGCCAGTATTATTTGCATCAATATTTTTTCATTTTCTCTTCTCGTGATTGAGAGATCACTCTACTATATTGGACTTCCAACTGTCCTGGAAATCTTTCAAGTCATCATCTAAAACTAAGCATCTGCCATCTCATGTGTTCATCAGAGGAATCAAGGCATCTTGGCCATCTGTATTTGCCATGACAAATCATCTCCGCTGTCCCTAGTATCTGGCCCAAGTCCTGGGATTCAAAACTCTATGAGAAATACATTCCGTTAAGGAGAAAGGGTGATGAAAGCATGAAATGTTCCCCAAAATTATAGGATTTGCTCTAGTCTTGAAAATTAACATGGTTGCTTTACATTTACAGAAAAGTATATAGCAGAAAAGGTCAGCTCTCAGAACCTCAAGTGAGACAGAAATATGTCAATGCATTTCTGACAATCAATCCATTTATAAATGAAGAGGTCAGCGCTAGGCATAATGGTGCATCCCTGTAATCTCAGCCTCACAAGAAGTTCAGGCAGGAGTATCTCAAGTTCAACACCGGCCTCAGAAATTCAGCAAAAGCTCTCCCAAAATAAAATATTCTGAAGGGCTTAGAATACTGCTCAATGACAGGGTGCTTGCCTATTGTGTGAAGTTCTGAGTTCAACCCTCCAGTATCACAAAATAAAACAAAAAACAAACTGGTCAGTCCCACCATGCTAAAAAAGTAGCGGCCTCTCATGTTTTGTGCACAGAGCATGACTGCAAATGAATATAGATGTCCCCTTTGGAATGGAAGGATCTTCAGTGTTCACAGTTACGAAACAGGAAGAAAGAAATCCTACTGGTAAAAGTCTGAGAAACCAGCATATCTGGTTAACACCTAGTACTAAGTAGGACATAAAATGGATTTTCTTGCAAAATCAATTTGACTGATAATCTATCTCTTGGAATTTTGAGTTTCTTACACAATGCGTTACTATTTAAAAAATCAATAATTTGGGGCCAGAAAGAAAAAGAAGGCCCCTAGCTTTAGCCAGATATCCTCCCCAATTACAATGAGATACAAAAGATGGTTATCAACAGTCATCTTTCTTACAATCCTGTATCTCCTGTAGCTTCGGTCAGCTAATGTCAATATTGAAACTTGTTATTACATGAGAAATAATTTCATTGATTTGAAAAGATTTGAGCTCCCTTACAATCTGCAGAACTACAATACTGCAAGAAGAGTTGGCACTATTTGTAATATTTGTCTAAATAAACATTGATTAAAGTATTATGGTATATTGCCTAGGATTTTAGAAGGGCAGGACAGGAATTAAATTAATAGATGATAGGCAGCAAATTTTGCTTCTGAAGGCTGTGTCCAAATGACGGTTACATACCTCAGGAAGAGCGTGTGTTTTAGGACTCTGATAAGTGAGTCATGAATCTTGTCTATCACAGTGGGCTTCGGGTGCCCATTCTGCTTCCCTCATCCACGTCCCAGAAAGCATGATGGCAGAGTCTCTGCCAATCACAGCAGCAGCTTTAGTCAGTCATCACAGGCCACCAACTGATCAGATCATGCTGAAGTGAGGCAAAGGCCCAACTCCAAACAATACGCTCCTGTGCCTCACTTCATTTTCTGTCCATAAATGCTGCCTGCCCATCTTGCTGGGGGTACACCCAGAACCTCTTCTGGTTCTGAGGACTGCCAATGTGCAAACAGTTTTTTGCTCATCTAAACTATTACAACTTTCTGTTTACTATACACCTTTTGGTTTTGTCTCATTAGCATCTTATAAGCAGTTAACTAAATATGATGCTAGAGAGTTCTACAAGACAAAGATTGTCTCAGGAATGTATCCTTTTTAATATTGCAAAATTGGGCTCACCTAGAGTCAAGGTGCCTTGCTCAGGTATTATCTTCAGCACTGTTCCCACGGATTGTGAGATGTCGGTGACTGAATACTCATCCCCAAAGGAATAGGTTTCCAAATCCTTGCTTTGACTCTGCTGCCATCTTGTGGTAAGTGGGCTACTGGCTATAGGCACTTCAGCTGACAGCCTCTTCACAATGTTCTCTTTGAAGTTAGAGTACGGGGTGGTAACTGAATCAAATACCTATTAAACAACAAAGAGAATTGTAATTTACAGTGGCTTCGGTGATACAAATATAAAAATTCCTTAAAAGAGAATTGTATGGGCTAATACAACACAAAATACGGATACATGAGATTTTTAATTTTTATGGCCTAAGAAAACATTATAATATTTTTTAAACATCATTACACACTTTGAGCCTTTGCTGAAGTCTTAGGATGTACCAAAAGAGTTTAAAGGGTAATTATATTTAAATTCAAAATGTAACATGAAATAACACCATATTATGAAATTTAGATTTTTTATATCAATTCCCTTTTATAAATTTTTAGTTGATTCTAACTAATTTGAAACATTGTGAGAGTAAGCAAAGAACTCTGTGGCCCACAGTCAGGTGATCTTGTAATACTAGTCAAGTGGCCCTTACCTTGGAGCCACCAGATACAAAGACACATTTAATTCATACACACACACACAAAAAAAAAAAATCACCTTGATAGAGGGAGGAGACACTTGCTCAAAGTTTTCCTTGGTATTCTAGAATTTAAATATACAAATTTTTAAAGATCAAAAACAAAATAATCTGAGTTTTTAAAGGAAAAATAAAGAATAAATTTATGACATGTCAGCTAAGAAAAATGATCAAGAAATTTCACACCAACAATCACATTGCCTTTGCCTGTCTGTGTTCTTTGGCTCACCACTGTCACTCTGTCCATCTGAAATATTTCCCTCTTAGGAGCTCTTCCCCAGTTCTCTACCAGGGTAACCTCTAGCCCACCTTCAAAGCTGAATTCAACAACACTGCTGCCATCTTGTGGAAACACTGGAAAGTGTCTCAGAAATTCCCTTCATCCTTATTCCAAACTGGTTTGGCAGCCTGTAGTAGGCCAACTAGTATTCCCAATGACATCTAGGTCCTAATTCTTGGAACCTATGCATACCAAAAGACCAAGGTAAAGGGGCTTTTCAAGTGTGGTTAAGTCAAGAATTAACCTGCATTAAACTGAAGAGACTCTTCTGGATTTTCTTGGTGACCACTCGCATCTTGTAAAAGAAAGGCAGAGAAAGATTTGACCACAGGAGGGAAGGTAGCAATATGATCCCAGAGTAGAGCTGGAGTGCTAATGTCCATAGGTCAGGAAGTGCTATCAGTCATCAGGATCTGGAAGCAACAAGGCATGGATTCTCCCCAAGAGCCTCTGGAAGAAGCGAGACTACTGACAGCGTGGCTTGGGCCCAAAGGAATTGATCTCAGACCTAAAAGAATAAATGTGTGTTTCAAGTCACCAAGTTTATGACTTGAGTAATTTTTGTGACTTGAAAAATTTATTGCAGCAACCATACTGCAATACATAGAACCAATGCACAGCCTGTCTTGGACTTCACCGCTCATTGTGTGAAGAGCATCACAACAGTATATTAATAATAACATTTATTGAGAACCTAATGTGCCAAGCAATGGGCTATATGAATTAAATATTTATAAATTTCATCATAATCCTATGAGGCAGGTCCTATTATTATTCCTGTTCTATAGAACTAGAAAATAAATCTTAATAGCGTTTAAAAACCTGAGCACGGATTCAGGTTCAGGCCACTGAACAATAGATGCACAGACGTCATTGCTGTAAAGTGCACCATTTGGAATATGTAGTGAATCACCTTCATAACCAGTAGAACAACGCTGTCAAGACTTGAGCTCTAACAAATCACTTGAGTCCCTGTACTTTCAGCATCTATGCTCACCATCCACTTTTCTGCTTATTTTTATTTCTCTCCTCCTATGTCACACACTCTTAAAGACCAAGGACTTTGTCTTTCATCTTGCTTTCCTCAGGGAACAGTACGTTTGTTGGCCTCTAGAACTCCAAAATGAATAAATGAATTAAAGAAAAAGACACAAGGGCCTTAAAATGAATCCAGAGGCAAGGAAATAAGCTTTCTTTCTTCTCTATGAAGAACAATTTTCATGTTGGACAAGATAAGAGAAACATTCCCACAGAAACTGGAGAGTGACAAAAGTAAAGCGATAAAAGTGTGCCTGAGGGTTTTAAATTAAGTCTAAGTTTCTAGGATAAGTGACACCCAAGAGTACTAACAACAGTTCCAGAGCTGATGCTGATACTTGTCAATGATCTATGGGGAAAAATGACAAATAAAAACAGCCTCCATAGACAAATTGTTTCCATGATTTCCAAATGAGGGAAGATAACTAGAAATAAATTTGTTGCCAGCATCCTAGATGAAACAAATCTTCTCCAATCTTTGTTAGCCTGAGGTTTTCTTCCTGGCTTTGCTTACTTTACTCAGCTTGTTATCAATGGCCTAAGTGGAAATTTATCTATTAAAGTTACTGATTATTTTAAATTGAAAAAGTTAAATTATTAATGAATTCAAAATAAAGTCTGAAACAAAGATCAAAAGCAAGAAAATTAAATTCAAGATTTTTTTCATTGTAGAAGTAAAAAAAGAATTGACATGTAGTTAGACAACCACCACTAGGAGTCAAAAATATGAAACTACCTTTTTTAAAAAAGCAATACAGCTTTACGTCTAATTAAGTGATAAAACAGTGTCCAGAAGAGCAGAAAGCAAAATCCCATTGTTTCAAGTCATAACACATCAGAGAACTGGCTCCAGGTTCAGAAATGTTCTTTAAGAAGGGAGACAGGTGAGCCGGGATTCAAAGCCCAGGTTCAGCTGGAAGAAAGAGATTGCAATGACAGGGATCAAGGTAAGCACTGTTAGAGAGTAACACCCCAACATATGTAACAGTCCCCCTCAAGTGGCATGAGAGAACTCAGAGTCTTAGGAGGAAGAAGACTTGAAAGGAACTCACTTCAAACTTTTAACGGGATGTAATTTATGAAAAAAAAAAAACTTACTTAGTTTGACTGCATATGACAAAACCAGCTCCAATAATAGAGAAGACAAATTTTTATGCAATACAAAGAACTTTCAAAGAGAGTACAATTTCTATTAACACTTTGAAATTCTCAGTCAATCCTTCCACTTGGAACATATATGTATGCTTTGTAATGGTACACATAAATGTTTTTAATAGTTATATATTTTAATATAAATTTTAAATATTTTAAATTTTCAGTATTGATATAAAGTTTTGCCTCACAAAATATTAATTTGTGTGAAATAAATTAATATATTTAAATAAGAATGTTAACTAAGTAACAAATGATATGCAAAAATCACAGAGGTGACATGCAAATGACTACAAGATTAAGAAACTGCTATTTCATCTTCAATGTTTTTAAACTTTTGTTCCCAGGTCTATCTCCTGCTGAGGAAATGCCTGTCGCATAGTTTTAAATGACTCAAGAATTTATTAATGGAGAGGAAGAGGAAGATAAGAAAAATAAGACAAAGAAGGGAAAAGGGATGAATGACTTGATACTTCAAGCACATCAGTTCAGGTTGTTTACTTAAAGAATTCACATCATATTGACACTATATTGGGAGGAATTTGGAGCACCAGAGCCAAAAAGTAAATAGAAAGGAACTTGGAGAGGTTAAAAATAAGGTCAGGAAGTCACAAAATGAAACAACTGAGAAAAGACAAATAAATATATCTAGTAATAAATAATGTGACATACAAATATTCAGTGGGTGGAGAAAACCTGGACATTCCAGAAAAGACATGCTGGTGATGCCAGAATCTTCCAAGAATCTCACAACAAAAGTAATAAAATGTTCCTGTGCCCGCTCAGGCATGTCCCCACCACCTTTCCTTACCCCTGACCACCACAGTAGCCCATTATAGCAGTGCTCTGTCCATAAGATGCTGCAAATTTAGTCTTTCTCTCTCCCTCTCTCTATCTCTCCCTCTCTCCCCTATCTGTGCTACAAATTGAACCAAGGGGCTCACGCACGCTAGTCGAGCACTGACTTACTGAGTTATGCCCCAGCTTACCTTATTCTTGGCCCCCAAATGCCTTCACATCCCAGGGGGCAGTACAACCCAACCCCAAAACGCTACACCCTACAGACAATGATAATGCACTGCATATTTCTACAAGCTAAATGGAAGAATTTTAAATGTTTTCATTGAAAACAAAAAAGAAAATTTCGAGGAGATAGACATGTTTACCCTGATCTAAACACTGCACAATGTAAATATGGGTCAAAACATCACGAATATCTTATAAATTTGTACAATTTTTCTCTTTCAGTGTATCAGTTTCAAAGACTTAGCCAACCTGGCAAGATCGTTTTCAGGCAGGCATTATCTATTACATTCCATTGCCAGTGCCTGTCATTGGTGGCTCCACAGCCGCATAAGCATCCATTCCCTTCCTCCCATCGCATGGGCAAAGGCTGCTTCACTCAGCCTGTCTTCTCTTATCTTGACTTCTTGCTCTGCAGACTTCCTGTGATGCTTTCCAGATAACTTCCATACACAAGAACAAGCTCTTTTTGTTGCTGTCCACTCTCTCCTCTCTTTGGACTCATAAGTGATTTCTTATGAAACAAAATATCTCAGATGAGTAAAACCTCTTCGCGGAAGCACTGTTACAACAATCTTGCCTCATGTTTTTTTCTATAATAAACAGATTTTAATTATTACAGAAGTATAGTTTTTTTGTTGGTTTTGTTTTGTTTTGTTTTGGTACCAGGGATCAAACTTACAACCTCATGCTTGCCAGGCAGGCGCTTATGCCATTGAGCTAAATCCCCAGCCCCTACAGATGTATAGTTTAATGAAAATGAAATAATTTGGATTATGCAATTGCAAGTCTTAAACTGTGTTCTTGGTTATTCCATTCACTAGTTCTTGGCTCCTTCCCATTTCAAACTTCCCGTTTCAAAGAATTGTTGAGAAGGAAATAATATACATTAAAGGAAATCACATGCACCATAAACTTCATAAACAAAGTCATTTTCATGAAAAATGCAATGTTGAGCTAAAAGAACTTGCTGCTTTATAATTCTTCCCTTCTCCTATGTGTTCTCATATCTTCAAAATTGATTTTAAATGTGTAGGAGACTTTTTTATCCTTTTTAATGCCTGAGTTGATTAACTGAGTCAACTGCTTTATCTCATTGTTGATGCCATATCTTCCCCTTCATTTGGCCTTCAACTCATCAGTCTCTTCCTCCCCTTCAGATAGCTTTCCATCATTTACTGAGTGATAGTGATTGTTCTAGCATACTGCCACTACAAAAAGAAATATGTAATTGCTACATATCTGTGGTCTGAGACAGAACATGGAAGCAATGACAGATCACCAGAAGCTGAGAATTAATGAAATCAAAGAGACCCAGAGGAAGAAACAAAGGGGCCAAATCCGTGTTCTCTACACTGTTCAGAGTAGGGGTTCTCTAACATACTGTGTTGAATGTTTCGTTAATAAGGAAAGTTAGGTGGCATGTTTTCATTGTTTGAGCTCTTAAGGTTCAGGATCATTAACACATGGTTTCTCATTTCATCCTTGACAAGTGATGCATGTTAAAGCTTTCAAACTAGTGCTTACATATAGTGAATCTTCTGATCAAAAACCAACCTGAGCTGCAGTCCTGCATACTTGTTTACCTGACATGTTAGCTTATACAACAATCCCTTGGACATTTGTATAGCATAATTTTGGCCTTCTCAAGCTCATTCAGCTCCAGATCACTTGATAAGAGTTTCTGTATTTATAATACAATGGGTTAGAAACTATCATGTTTTCATCAAAATAAGAGCACGCCATGCTCTATCTGAGGGTCAGTCAGCTTTCCCAGAGATAATCACTGTGTCTTCCCATCCTGTAGCCCAATTATAATGGGATGGGTTTACATGGATCGAACTACAGCAAGTGTGTTGTAACCTAGTTCTAACCAATGCGCCTCCTTCCTGTTCTGTAGGTGCCATTTCAATAAAGATTAAAATTCCATTTCCAGTAAAGACTTAAGTTTCAGCTCCTTGTAAATCCCCCACCCCTCCCCATTCTTTTTAGGTTAAGTCTCCATTTCCCGTAAAAGCTTTAAGTCTCAGTTTCTTGTAATACCGCCCCACTCCCTTCAGCCTATCTGTAATAAAATGTACTGTCCTTAAGAAACGTTTAACTATAAGGAAGTTACAGGAGATACCAAAAAGCCCAGATGCTATCAAACTGGGTCAAAGTTCGCAACATGCCTATGGTTTTCAGCTTTAAAACCCAACCCTTTTTGCTGTAAGGCGCGCATATTGGCTCCCGGAGACTGCGTCACCAGGCCTGGCCTAAAATAAAGCCTTTGCTTCCTAAATTCTAATTTCTTGCTTCCTTGGATTTTATTCCGGGGTCTGAGCTATCACAAGTGTTCTATGAATTAACTTTTAAAATGCAAGTTCCTGGACTACTGCTTGGGTAGCCTGAGGAGTTAGCTAAAATATCTAGTGTAGGAAACATGAAAATATCTAGTGTAGGAAACATGCCAAACAATAAAAAAAAAAAAAATTGCATTCGTTTTCTTATTGACACCAAGCACATTTATTAGCAAAGAAGAAAGTTATCAAATATATTCATATCCTTCCTTAAGAAATTAAAAATAAAAGACAATAAAACCAAACACAAATAGAAGAAAACATAAAGATCAGAAAATACCATCCCTTATCAAAATGCCAACATCATTTAAAAATTGCATTCTAAAGGTTCTCACTCTTATGCATATGAGTCATGAGGGGAGAATCCTATAAAATGTAGATTCTGACTCAGGAAATCGGGGGTGAGCCCTGAGATGCTTCGTTTTTAACAAGGTGATGGTCATACTGCAGGCCAGAGTGTGTTAGTAACAGAGTAATATTGGTATAAAGCATAAACATAGGGACTTTCACTATTTAAGCAACTCAGCCAAAATACGCACAAATAAAATTATCACAGTTGTGTCCATTTTGGGTACATTTTTGTTCTTTATAAGAAGTTATATTTAAAAAGAAATATTTTCTGCATAATCATTTTTTCTATTGTGTCCATTCTTATCAGATCATGAGAGAGGAATAAAGTGGCTTCTTTTGGAAGTTTCATGGAAAGATTTAATCCTAAACTGTTGGCTTTGCTCGATTTATCCCAGACACACACACACACACACACACACACACACACACACACACACACGACAAAAGTGGGGATGTGAGGAAGAGTATGGCAGCTTCTTGAGCTCATCCCCTTTAAAGCTCTCACAAGCCCACAGTGGTGAGAATGGCAGTCTGGTAAATTTGTTCTAGAAACCCATCATGATGTCAAAGCTCAGGCCCATTAGTTTAGAACTTCCTGTATCTTAGATAGACTAGATTCTGAGATAACTAATGGAACCATGGATTTTAGGACATGCAGCCCTCAGTTGTCTCCCCATCTCTACACTTAAGATTCATTACCTTTAGTGATATCAGTTAGACCCCTCTAGCAGGCAACAGCCAGAAGAAAAATTAGACATGATAAAACAGTAGGTTGATGAACTCAAGTAGAAATGAGCTTGGAATGTTTTGTTTTGTTCTATTTTGTTTTATCTTGCTTTTTGTGGTACTGGAAACTGAATCTAGGGCTTTCGCACTGAGCAACATCTCCAGCCCTTTTTATTTTTTGAGACAGGGTTTCAATAAATTGCCCAGGCTAGTCTCAAACTTGTGATCTTGCTATCTCAGTTTTGCAGAGTGCTGGGATCACAGGAATGTGCCACCACGCCCAGCAATGATCAGGCTGTTTTAAAAGTGCAGGGAACACAGAAACATTGCAGTTCAAAGGAAAATGATTGCTTCAGGGAACTTCTCAAGTGTGTGTGTGGTGGAAGGAGTGTAGGTATGCTATAAAGTGCTTTTTTTTCTTTTTTTTTGTCTTTTTTCCTTTTTATCAGTACCAGGGATTGAACTCACGACTGCCTGCCTGCTTACAAGGCAGGCGCTTATGCCGCTGAGCTAAATCCCCAGCCCCTATAAAAGTGCATTTCTTGAGGGAATGGTAATCAAAACTTCAGAAACGCTGAACTATATTTTATGATAGAATAAGAGATTTTAACGTCATCTGTGTTTTCAATCTATTTAATTTTACTGAATTCACAGGCTTTTGATTGCCCTGGCTAGATGAGGGCAGAGTAAACAATCTTTTGAGATATTTCATTGTTTTCCATTCTAAATTCCCTGAGGTGATGCAGTATGTTTAATCCATAGAGATAATATTAAAGTTGCCTCGGGCCAGACATCCAAATTTTTTTTTTTTTAAATCGGTACAGGGGACTCAACTCATGACCGCCTGCTTGCAAGGGAGGTGCTAATGCCGCTGAGCTAAATCCCATCCCCTAGACATCCTATTAATTGCACTTAATCTACTTTTAACATTCCTGAATGCTGCACCCAGCCCTCCACATCCAACCAGTTGTTTAGGAAGCACACAGATGCTTAAAGGTCAGTGAGGACTTCAGTTTCCAAATTACAAGAGCGCCATCTTTTGGTGAAATATTTTCTTTGTAGGGAAAGTGTCAAGACCTAGCAAAAACGCACTAGTTTTTCTGGCAAAAAAAAAAAAAAAAAAAATGCAATTACATCACAAATACTTTGAAATTCAATAGAGTCCCTCCCTTCTTTGGATTTTCACTCACCACCACCGAAAGGTGTCTTCTATTTTTTAGCAATGCAAGAAGCCAGTCGTCTTTCCCAGTTTTCTATTAAGCAAAAGAGGTTTCAAGTTTCAGCTCCTCCTAGAATTCCAGCCTGCTGACTCCCTTTAGAACCATCCAAAATGGAGCCTCTCTCCGTTCATCCATTAAAATGTTCCGGGCCCAAAGCAAAGGTATTTGCAGTTTTGCTGTCTATGGTTCTGTGCACTATGATGCTATTTCTTCTACAACTGAAATTCCTCAGACCTAAAATCAACAGCTTTTATGCCTTTGAAGTGAAGGATGCCAAAGGAAGAGTCGTTTCTCTGGAAAAGTTTAAAGGCAAAGTAAGTGAAATCTTCTGTTTTTACTTCCATGGTTCCTCCACGTTTCTGCTTTGTGTCTTGCTATACTCAGTTTTTGCCGTTAAGTGGTTGTAGTTAGGATGCTGTCTTTAAAGTAATTTCATTAGTACATCAGTTTAATTACCAGAATTATGAGAGTTTATAGACTCCTAATGGATGAAATGATTGTCTTATTTTTCTCAAAAATGCTTTACTTTTGTGTTAATACTTTTAGTTGTCTACAAAATACAGGCAGTAATATGGAGATGACAGCATTTGTTAATAAAAGTATTATTTCTGTTTTAAAGCACTTTAATCATAATAATATTTATTTTAAAAACTTTCATGAGTACCTAATGCTTTTTTAATGGCAGTAATATTTCAGTCTTCTGGTTATGATTTTCAATAAATTGAATATGTTAAAAATATGAAGTAATCAACTATCAGGTTATATTCTTGCAGAACTGTTTTAAGATTTTATCTACTCGAAGGTTTTTTTTTTTTTTAATCGTTTGCTTCAGCTTCCGGCTGATCTTTTTCTTTTTTTCCGTGAGGTTACACTAGTTGTAAACGTGGCTAGTGACTGCCAGCTCACCGAGAAAAACTACTTAGCGATGAAGGAACTCCACAAGCAGTTTGGACCATTCCATTTCAGCGTCTTGGCTTTTCCCTGCAATCAGTTTGGCGAATCGGAGCCCCGTTCGAGCCAGGAAGTAGAATCTTTTGTAAGGCAAAACTACGGAGTAACATTCCCCATCTTCCACAAGATTAAGATTCTAGGATCTGAAGCAGAACCTGCCTTTAAATTTCTTATTGGTAAATATTAACCTTGCCTTACCAATATAATCTTACTTTTCATTTAAAATATAAAATACCATGACCATATTTTCCTATTTCATTTGAAATGTTTTATTGAGAAATTTTCTTAAAACTATCCAAAAACCAGACTCTCATCCTTCATAACTTTTTAGAAGTTATGATTCCTGAAATTAATGTTTCAACTTCTTAGGTGGCAAAAGTATTCAGTTCACTGTATTTTATACCTTATGACCTCTTCCTGAAAACTTTACATGAATTGTGGCCCTGGCTATTTTCACAAAATATCACAGTTCTCCTTTGTATTATCTAGCACTGGGGAAATACCCCTCGTTATTAAAGCTGTGCATTTCATGAATATTATATTGAACTCATTAGCTGAACAGTACTTGTGTTTAACTTTATGCTTTCTTAGCTGAGAAAGTTTCTTCAAGGATTAACATCTCAGGTTTTTGCTAAAATTCAAAACAACATAACTTGATTTTTTTCAGAAGGCAAGAAAGTCTTTTTAATTGCTAACCACAGAAATCTATTCAAAGACTGTCCAAGCATAAGATTAGCATAAATTAGCATGGTATAGTGACTGTAAGGGTTGGGCCTCAAATACTTTTGCTCTGTGGCTTCAGGCAAGTGAGTTAACTTCTCTGTTTCTGTTTCCTCTCTTATAAAATGAAACTACAAATGTACCCACCTCCTGGAATTTTGGGAAGGATTAAGCATACTAATTGGAAAAGTAAAATATTTACATACTGTTTATGTCCCAAACAGTAAAGGACATTCATTCACTCAGCTAATGTTTTCATCTAATTTATTTTGAGGACATATTCAGTCCTATTTTCTCTATAAATAGAGTTTTGGTAAGACTATGCCTCAGACATATTAAACTCCAATCCAACAAATGAGATACTCTGTAATATTTTATATAAGCATGTAGTTCGAATCCTCTAAAAACATTTAATTTCTAGAGAAAGTTGACATAATGCCTAACACCATGAGTAGTAGAGTGACGTCTTCATTCCTTTTATATCTGGAATACACTTGAGGCAAGAAAAGCCAGAGTCCATGCCCTTGAACTAATCATGCCTCAGTTACAGCAGCCAAATACTTGGGGCACCATAGAACACAAGGTATTCCTGTCACTAAAAAAGCTTGTAAATCCCTGCTTATTCTGGGTAATAAAAAGGGTAACAATGTAACCTACAGTGTTTTACTGAATTTAGGTGGGAAGGGTAACAGACCCCAGGGGTCAAGAGCACAGATCTAGAAAAGGAAAGCATTGCTATCAACCCAACCTCTGCAACTTATTGGCACAGGATCTTGAGTCTATGTCCATCTTTCTTGTCTATAAAGTGAGGATAATATTATATAAAGATTTATCAAAAGGGTATCACAGTTTCTCAAATACAATGATTATTTAAAATTCCTTGCCATTTTCAGCTATGTAATGTTAAAAACACTAATATATTTAATATGAAAAATAAGCCACACATTCCCATTGCTAGGGACCTTTAGAACGTTTTGTCTCCAAATATGTTAAGAAACAAAATTGAGTTGATGACAAAGTAAATATCTTTAGAGCAACAAACTTTGTTGTTGTTTTGTTTCATTTTGTGATGCTAGATAAGTAATCAATGAAGTTATCAAGTACAGTATATCAAAATTTATTCAAAACCTGAGTTGTGCTTTGGATATATTGTTTTGTATCTGATATTATGACAATCCTAGAACCTATTCTAAAGTTATCACTTAAGCAGATACTAATGCAAATTAAAAATTTTGACAAAAAACAAAACTGTATTTGTGAATCTGTTTTAGATTCTTCAAAGAGGGAACCGAGGTGGAATTTTTGGAAGTACCTGGTCAATCCCGAGGGTCAAGTGGTGAAGTACTGGAGGCCAGAGGAGCCAGTTGAGGCCATCAAGCCTGACATCGTAGAACTCATCAGACAAATCATCGTCAAAAAGAAAGAGGATCTCTGAATATGCCACTGAGCCACATTAATGCAATATAACAGAGAAACACTGCCAGAGAATCTGGTGTCACTTTAAATATTTTGACAAACTAGGCACTGAAGATTTTTTTTTTTTTTAATGTTTTCTTGCTAGCTGGTGATAGCGCATGTCCCCAGGACATGTTACCCAAAGCAAAATAAGAGTAGCAAAAAATCAAAATGAAATATATTCAATACTTCATCTGACAACATTGAGAAATTCAAAATATACAGGTGTCAATGTGTTTCAATATCCTATTGTTCAACTTGACATTTTCTAGGGTTGCATTTTATGGAAATGCCTATATGGTATACCACTGGATTCAAGAACAGTCTATGTGACTAAAATTTTTAGAGTAACTGTAATGACTATGTTGATATAAATAAAACTCAAAATAAACGATAAAAGATGTAAAATATTGAGAGAGTTGAATCCTTATATGTGTTTCATATTGTTTTTTTTAAAGTACAGCTTTGTAGTGTGTTTAACTATATCTTGCCAAATAGTCATTTATAAATTACACTATAATAATATTTGAAGAAATCTTCATATTCAATACTTTCTCCCTCTTGTGTTGTAAGAGCAAGTCAGATTCCATAAATACAATGCTAATATATTCAGACTGAACTAGTCATTTGGAAAGAATTCAGTGCTGTATCATTCCAATAGCTAAAACAGAAAAAATAACTCCAGTCAAAACTCTAATGTAAAAAAAAGGAAGGGTTTGACTGTAATCACAAAATGTCCTAAAATGTAGACCTTAAGAGACACAATATACATTTTCTCCTGAAGTTGTGACTTTGTTTATTTATTGTATAAACACTAATGAAACAACCTATCAACTTGGTGAAGATTGTTATCCCATGAAATATTCATTCTATAAAAGAACTAAATATGAAGACTGGGGTAAGTGTGTGTGTGTATGAATAGTTATAAAATCTGGCTATCAAGGAAGAAGACCCAATTTAAATAGCCTGTAGCTTAACTCCATAATTTTTACCTAATAGATGAAAGTGAAAATATTTTGGCAGTGGATTCAGTAATGGTATCACCATACATATAGTTCATGTAAATGTCTGGACTAAAGTTCATAAAGGAACAAAAAACATTTCCTAGAGTGCCTCCTGCTTCAAAGTCTGTATACAACCACCAAGCCATGAATGTGTTTCATGAGGCACTTGGGGGAGGCAGAGGCACAGCACCCATTGGCAGTGAGGGACAAGAATTGACAGGTATAGCTGCAAGAATATCAGATTAGTGTGTAAGCAAACCTGCTCCTATCTCAGCTGCAGGATTTTGGTAAGTTACTTAACTACTTAACATTATTCTCCTTAGTAAGTTAAGTGGGACTGAAATGAAACGAAGAGCCTCTTCCACCTCTAAAAGTATACTTAACAGGAAAGAGAACCAATCTGTATAATCGGTGAAGACATTGGCAATTTGAATTCTGAGTCTCTAGACAAAATTTTGATTAGGGTGAGTCTTAAGTGTTGTCTCTCCAGTACTCTTGCATGTTCCTATGGTTTCCATTAGCCCCCCTAACAGTTACAGTACGGGAGGGATGTTTTCCTGTGCTGCGTTAAATGCATGCGCATCACCCAGGAGACACCAATGGATGGTAACAGCTGTGTGGGGATGACCTTGACTGTCCCAATAAATGTGATTTGATGCCCTCCATGCCTTAAGTCATTAGTTCTCTCCAAAGCCAGAGAATGGGTTTCTTATACAGGGCACAATCAAAATACATAGCGAATGTTTAATTTTTTTTTTTTTTTTTTTGGTACTGGGGATTGAACTTATGACTGCATGCTTGCAAGGCAGGCGCTTATGCCACTGAGCTAAACCCCCAGCCCTGAATGTTTAAATTTAAAAAAAAACATTACAGTAAAAGACACAGCAACACTCATCCCTTTTAAAATACTCATTTGAATGTATTTATCCCATCATTCTTGCCTCCTCCTGAAGTTGTTCTGGAAGTCTTTTATGTCTTTATTAGATGTGATCAAAAATGGTGAGTGCTGCCGAGTGCCATCCAATGGAAAGGCAGGCTCTTCAAAAGACTGCAGTGTTCTCATCTACCTTACCAGATTTGGGGCTGTGTGATTTCTGGCTCTTGCTCAAAGTCAAAATGATCATGAAAAGTGTTTGGGTTCAAGAAATCGAGGCAGGCATAACAGCACAACTAAAGGCACGCATAAAGATTTCCAGAACTGACTGCTTCCAAAAGTGGGAGGAAGGAGGTAAGGGTATTTGAAGTGAGGGGGAGTGTCATGGTTTATGTTTGTGTCCCCCAGGCCTCATGAGTTTGCATTGTGTATTTGTGATTGGTTCATTGTCTAGTGCTTGGATTGATGGTGTCAGTGCTCCACCCACAAAGGGGTGGAGCCAGGATGTGCTGTAATGGCAGGAAGAAGGTGTGTCTTGCTCTTTGCCGGTTCCTCTTTGCTGTTTGCAGCGGCCAGGGCCAGCCATGCCCGCCTGCCTGGGAGCTGACTGAGTGTGGACTGAAACCTCCAAAAACTATAAGAAATAAACCTTTCCTTTCCCAACTTGGGCATCAGGTATTTTGTCTCAGTGAGGAGCATAAAGTAACTAAGACGGGGAGTTCATGGCAGTGTCTGTTACTGCGATAAATGTCTTTAAAATACAAACATATTTTTTGATCCCATAGTATCTCCCAACCTGACATTTTATTACAACCTACAGTCGCTGCAACAACCAGTCTTCCCTTAGCCTCTGAGAATATAGAGCAAGTCCATGGAGCTTTGCAGGTCTGTCCTATGTATTTCCGAGGGAAATAAAATTCATGCATCCATCCAGAGTTCTCTACCAATTAGTGTTAGGAAGTGTTGGACGAGTAGAGCCATTTGCTGATATGCTGCCACCCATGACTCAAAATGTCTCACATAAACACTGCTGGACAAATATACTGAGAAAAACTGCATGTTTCCTGAATTGACAGTCTTTCTTCAATCTTGGCATCAAAAAGTCAAGAACACAGGCTGCTACAGGATGCCTCAAATAAGGAGTGTAACAAAAATATCGGACATTATATAAAAGAGTACTTTGTCTTTATGACAAGGAAAAGGACAAAATAAAATGTATTTTAACTAAGAAATCATTCATTGACTGGAAGTTTGTTTTGGCATGTTTTAATTGGAGGATGGAGAAAATATTTCATTAATGAACTCCTAATTATCATCCCATGACAAATGTAACAATAAAGGTGTTGGGGAATATAGTAAATATTAATTTGCCTGAAATCATTTTATTTCTACACACTTAATAATCTTGTATATGGGTACATATGCATTTCTTAATAATTCTATGATAAACACTAGCATATATAATGGTAGCTGGTAAATGTTCCCAGCACCCTTTGAAAATTGTGACTTACAGCACTTGCTAAGTTTGCCTGGTGTGAATGCCGATTTTTCAAGCCACCAATGGTTGAAAAACTAGCTTGCACAGTTTTTGAAAACTTAGGTTCTTGAAAAACAGCATAAGCTGCTTCCATCACACCGAAATTCCTAAAAACTTGACTTGGTCCAGCATCATAAGGAACTCAAAAGAGAAAAATCTACAGCAAAACATAATATATATATTTTTTTTATTGCAACTACACTATTGTGACAGATTATATAAAAATGTAGAAGCATACACAGTTTCTAAATATAAGAAGTTGCTAATCCTCTACTGCTTAATCACACTAAAATCTATTAACCTAACTGGACCGTCTTCAGATACTCTCTAACCTAACTGGACCGTCTTCAGATACTCTCAAGTATGAAAATCTTCCAATAAAAACAAAGAAGGAAATGAGGAAGATAGGAGACAAAGGTAGTCCAAGAAGAAAACCAAAACCTATATTTCTCTATTTTCTTGTGAAATAGTAACTGTTTCAAAAGACTATTTTGTGTGAGCAATAGTATTGAATGTTCCTATGCAAAATATTTTTATTTGTGGTTCTCCTTTGGGGAAAAAATGACATGTTTGGGGGGCTGGTAAGGGGACAGTATATTTGGTCCTCAGGTTGCTGTCATCCTTCCTATGGAATAAGAATATCCTACTAGCTGTTATGCATAGAAACCAATCCTTCACATCCTTTTCTCTCTTCCCATCCCAGAATCCAAACTATTGAGGCTGGACTTTGCTGAGTGATGTATAACATGCTCTCTTCTGAGGGAATAAAGAGCAGCATGGAGTAAGGAATTAGAGAGCCATGCAGAGGGCAGGAATGGGAAGGAGTTAGGTTTCCAGCCCAGCACTCAACATGGCGGCTGCCAAGGGAAAAAACAAAGGAAAGAAAAGCTTCTCAAGTAGCAGAGCCTCTCTGCTCCTCTTTCAGTCCCTTTTCCTCTACAGTCCCTTGTCTTGGCGATGAATTTCCCTATTACTCCTTAAGGACAGATTTTCTTCTTAAGTTTATATCCTCATTTTCCTCCTTACCTATTTCCTATTTCATTCCTTCTTTCTCATCTCTATAATATGGAAGTATATATTCAGCTTATTGAGAATAAATATTTTATGTCTTGCTCTTTAGTTTAAAAAAATTAAAACACAGAGGACAAGTCTTCTGAATTGTTTTATTTTTATTGTCAGGATGATATTTATAGTAGATAACGTTAAAATTTAACTTTTAAAAAAGGATAAAAACAATATTTACATAGAAGAGATTCTTCAAAACAAGGATTGTAAAAATAGAATAATACTGGACAGCAACAAAAAGATGAGACTTGGGGACTGGGGATTTAGCTCAGTGGCATAAGCGCCTGCCTTGCAAGCAGACAGTCGTGAGTTTGATCCCTGGTACCGATGATAAAAAGAAAAATGAGAATTGAAAGAAATAAAATCTATGAAAATCAAGTTATGAGTTTAGCTTATGTTCTAGAAATACATTTACATTTAAATAAGCATAAAAATTATTTTAATAATAATTTATATAAACACATTATATTATCCAACACATTACAGAATGTTATATTTTTCTCATATTTCAGCGCTTAACTAATAAGACCAAACTACCAAGTTCCAATAACTTGCTGTAAATAGCCACAAGAGAACATCATACGTCTGGGACCCAACATGTATCGGATTCCAATCCTTGGTCAAAATAGCTTTTAAGGAAATGAGAAAAAAATTACATAATACTTTCATAGCTAGCTCTTTCCTCCTCACAAACCTAATTTTATGCCCTTTTCCAAATATTATGAGTCTGTGACTTTACAGAAAATGGAATAAAGAAACCAACCTATCCCCACTCAAAAACATCCCTAATGTTCTTGATAATTTTTTTTCCTTTTTCCTTTTTTATTGATACCAGGAATCGAACTCACGACTCCCTGCTTGCAAGGCAGGTGCTTTTGCCGCTGAGCTAAATCTCCAGCCCCCGTTCTTGATATTTTAATTGAGAATGTTTTAACTGATAGATCCACCTAGAAAACTACGTCAGTTTTTCCTACATGATAAACAATCATAGACCCTCTACCACCATATTAAGAAACTGATGTAATTAAAGTATTTCTTTCAACACGATAAAGTTGTGCATTATATTATAATTAACTCAATTATAGCAATAACAACTATTATGGTAAATAGTGCCCTGCTTCATTGCAAAATACCTACATGCACACAGATTACATTCTGATGTTCGTTGTATATGCAATAAGATAGCAGTTGTATGTTAGCTGCTAATAATATATATTCAACCAGCTAACAATACACTGCCAGCCCATCACACACAGGTATCCAGAAGCATGTGGGAGGATAGTAGCTATTGATTTGACCCAAAGCAGCCCCCAAGGAATACTCTGCCTACCTGATTCAGATCATTGCTGCTTTTCATGGCCCATGAGTCATAGAAGCTAAATTTGTAATAGGATACACAGTAGCAAGAAGTTAGTCATTGCATTCTAAAAGTTCAGCTATGTATTCAATTTAGAGTGTCAGCATTTGAATACAGAAAAAATTATCTGGGAGGGAAAATCTATACAAGTATTGATGAGTTCAAAAGTAAAATCTAAGAGTAAAAAATTAAAGCTGCACTATATAGCCTACAAAGAAATATGATAAATGTTCATAACGATAAACTTAAAACATACAAGGGCTGCTTATGTGGGGGAATTTTTATTTTTAAAATTTTTACATTGATTACAAGAGAAACAAGATTTTTGGGTTGGGCCTTTCCAAGGCAGAAGTCTGGATCAAGGTTTAAATTGCCAAGAGCCCTGGCTTATGTCACTCCTTCACACTGTCCACAAGATGTCACCATTTCCACTTCATTGGGTAGCACGCTTCTGATTGCAACAGAGAGGAGTGCAACTAGCAACTGCTAAAATGAAAAATCTTAACAGCCAGCTAGCAATGCACTGCCTATCTGTCACATCCAAGTTTCACCTTTTGCTTTTAAGGTAAAAACTAGAAAGCATCGTTCTGATACAGATGATTACCATTATTTGTCAGCGATCTTCAGCTTTTTTAATTTTTCTAGGATTAGATTCTGTACTTATTTTCAGAACAGCCTATACTTTTCCAAATGCCTTCTTTAGCAAGCATTAATTTGCCCAAAATCAAAATAAAGACAGAGAGCAAGAGCAAGTCTTGGACACTCACCTTGGGGGAACTTCGACTTCTCTGTTGCTTCATGTTGTGGGCAAGCACCCGCATAATATTCTCCTTTGGAAACACAGATAACACGTTGAGAATGAAATTATTTAATAAAATGGTAATATCAGGTTCCGATTTTTCTAGATTCTGAGCTTTTCAAACCACATTCCTTTTTTTTAAGCAACCCGGCACCTCCACAATATAACTAAAGTACACAACTCAAAATTAAAATCAGGATGTGGAGTTTGGGCCACTTCATGACGCCAAACAGATATTTAAATGGTGCCTTTGGAAAGACGCCGCAAGAGATAACTGGGAGACAGAGAAGGGCATTACACACCCACAGCATCTCTTCTTCGGTCCGGATCCTCCGCCGGGCGGTGCGCTCCAGTTTCCACTCCATCTCTGCCTGGCGTAGTTGTACCTGGAGCGTAGCTTCTCCTCCGACCTTTTCAGGTTTTCACTCCAGGGCTCAGTCAGATTTAACATCCAATCGTTAAACCCCTAGAATCTCCTCCCCCAGGACCATCATACTTCACCACCTACCTCTACTTTCTCCGAGTCTTTCGCCCCATCAGGAGGACTGGTCCCGGGGGTACCCTTTAAAAAGCCGGCTCGGCGGCCCCCAGAGCGGGAATCCCCCTCCCGGCTTCTCATTGGTCAGCGCCCAGGTGACGTCAAGCCCAGGAGGGATTCCCCCTGCAGGCGCGGCCCCGCCTCCCCTCCGCCCGGTCCCACCTCCGACCCCGCCCCGCGCCGGCCTTGGCGCGCGCCAAGCGCCAAACTTTGCCGCGGGCGGTGGCGGGCCTGGACCCGGCGCTGAGGGCAAACGGGACCGCAGGAGGCCAGGGGTGGCGGGCAAAGAAGCGGGTTTTGGCCGTTCCGTCTCCGTTTTTAGAAACAACAATGCGTCATCCCAACGGCTGCCTTCCAAGCTCCCTCCGCCCTTTGAGGTCGCCAAGTGCAGTGGCTGCCGGCTGCCGTCCCCCGCTAGCGATCGCGGTGCGAGCCGGGCGTGGAGCTCGGACCGGCTCCCGGGGCTCCCGCAGCGCTTCGCCGTCCCAGAGGCTGCGCAGGGCGGCGAGACACCTGTGCGATGAGCTGTGCGAATCCACAGTGATGTTCATTCAGTAGATTTCCCTCTGCTCTGTCCGCTAGGAAGTGGCCAGGTTCTCTCCCGGGAGCTCTGAGCTCCCTTCCTAGACGGGCTCACGGTGGGCGAGAGGCCGGAGGACAGGGAGGACCTCGTGCAGGAGCCAGGCAAGAAGCTGCGCAGACACGCCGCTCCACGATAAAGCAGGAGAGGGCGGTGCGGGGCAGAGGTGGTGCACAAGGAGCCAGATGGGCAGTGCAGCCGTCGCTGCTCTCTAAGCCTCGGAGGCGAGCCGTGGTGGCCCCGCCGAGGGTTACTGCCCGGAAAGCCCGAGTCTGGCACGCCATTCCCTCTTCCCTAACCCCTCTCACCCTACTTCGTAGCATAGGCTGAATTTTGCTCTAAGGCACTATGTGACTTTGTGCCTTTTTCTGAGGAAAGGTTCACAGCCATCAGATATTCAAAAGGGTCAATGAGTAAAAAGGTAAAAAATTAAAACTCACTCCAATGCTTTTCTTGATAGTGAAAGCAAGAAAAATGACATCAAAATTAACGCCCCAATCTTAGACCAGATCCCTCTGTAAAAGGTTAAGGAACATGATAAGGTTAGGGAAAATGATTCACAGAGTAATTTAATCTTTGAGATTTATCAAAACGTTTGATAGTCAACTCGAATAAAATTTGTTTCAACCACAAGGATTCTACTTTTCTTGCAGTGTATTCAAAGAAATACTCATTCCAAGTTCCCCCAGCAAATCCTTTCAGCCAACATTGCCTAAATAAAGTAAGCTATTATTGGATGAGTCAGATGCAGTTAATTAATAATGTTTTACAAATGCCAACTAAAATTAGCAATACACTGGAAATATGAAATTTTTATCTTTTCTATTTTAAATAAACTTTACATTTACCCATTTTGTACAAATAGTTCAAATGAGTTTGTAAATCAATTTAAAATGGGATTTTTAGAATTGAAGGTCTTAAAGTACAAGTAATTAATTATTCACATAGAATGCAGATACCTGTAATACTTATAAATTGCATTTTGGCCACTAATGTCACTGCATATCTATACACAGTCTCTAAATACCTTTTTTTCAGTGTAAAAGTGTAAAGTGTTACTGTAATATCTTTTAAAAAGTTATCGTTCAGCGGCACCAGCATGCCCTCTCTCCCTCCCTCAAGAGAGTGGGGGCGAGCGGGGCTGCCCTCTGAGAGCGGGGCTGCTGAGCCACAGCCGCGAAGAGCCTCAAGTCCCACCTGAGGAGGCACATGTGCTGGCCCAGAGTCCACCGCTGTCACCACCGGCAGCATGCAGACAGCTGATTGAAATATGACTGATTGATGAAAGCTGCAGAGACAGGGGATGTGGAAAAGTGTCTTCCATCCTTGCTAAGAAAAGAGTCAACTGAGGCAAACTAGATGTGGAAGGCAGATCTGCGTGACTATGGCACTAGCTAGTGGAACATGGATGATGGCATCTGTGATATAAGACCAGCTGAACACTGATCAGGACCTGCTGCAGATGTAAGAAGGCATGCTGATGTGCAAGGTGAGGTCCAAAAGCTGGAAGAAGCAATGATACTTCAGACTTCAGAATGACAGCATGACAGTCTGACATGCACAGCAGGCCGAGGGCAGTGTAAAGCCCAGCTTCTCTCAGTCTTTAATGGAACAGTGTAGAGGGGCCATGATTCTGAGCTGCTGAGCAGTCAGCAGAGTAGTTCCCACTGGAGCAAGGCTTCATGGCTGTCTTCCATGGTCAGCGCTCCAACCCTGACCTGGTGGCTAACAGTATTGAGGAAGCCCAAACCTGGATGCAAGGACTCCAGCTGTTCGTGGACCTTGTTATCCTCATGAACTAACAGGAATGGCTAGACCAATAGCTGAATGACTGGTTCCAGCTTGGAGACAAAAACCAGGATGGTTGGATGCATTTTACAGAAATTTAGTAGCTGCTACAACCAATGAATATGGAGATGAACCAAAAATATGCTTTTCATCTTTTCCAGACAACAGACATCTTCCAGACTGGGATTCTAGGAGCAGAGGAATTTGTACACTTCTATAAGTCACTAACTAAGCATAAAGAGGTACAGAAACTGAAAACTTTTTGGCTGATGGCAAGAAGTTGACTTTTCCTGGAATTTGTGGATTCCCTTCAGGGACAGCAGAATGGAAAAGATTATGTTCCTGACCATGCTCTGGAAGTCATTAACCATATGAGCCTTCAGACCGTGGCAAACTGCGACACATGCTAAGCATGGATGGCTTCCTCAGCTACCTCTGCTCAAAGGATAAAGACATCTTCAATTCACTTGCCTCTCTGTCTACCAGGACATGACTCAGTGTCTGACTCACTACTTCATTAACTCCTCTCACAACACCTATTTAGTGAGGCACCAGCTGTGTGGCCAGAGCAGTGTCGAGGGACATTGATGGGCCCTGAAGTGGGGGTGCTGCTGCATGGAGGTGGATATTTGGAATGGACTTAATAGGGAACCCATTATTTACCATGGACACACCCTGACCTTCCTCATCCCATTCAAAGATGTGGCTGCAGTAACACAGACTACTCCCTTATCCTGTCCCTGAAGAACCACTGCAGCTGGGAGTAGCAACAGACTCTGGCCCAGCACCTGACTGAGATCCTTGGGGAGCAGCTGCTGAGTGCCCCTTGGAGGGGCTGCTGCCCACACAGCTGCCCTTGCCAGAAGTTGTGAAGTGCCCGCTGTTTTGTCCACCTATCTGTTGTCAGACTATGACCCAGGATCCTACTCCCTATCCTGGGTGGCTTCTCTTGCCTTTGCAGAAACTCAAGCCCATCTTGTGTCCAGTCCTCTTCCCTAGTCTACTTGAAGTCTGTCCCATTCCACAGCTTCTCGAACTTGAAGAGTACTACTACTTCTATGAGACATCATCCTTCTCTGAAAGCAAGGCCAGGAATCTTATCAAGGAGGCTGGCAATGAGTTTGTGCAGCACAATATCTGGCAGTTGAGCCAATGGTCTGAGGACAGACTTGTTTAATTACAATCCTCAGGAGCTCTAGATGCAGGTTGTCAGATGGCGGCTATGAATATGCAGACTGCAGTTCTTGAAATGGATATCTGTAATGGGTTCTTTCGCCAAAATGGTGTCTGTGGCTACATGCTAAAGCCAGATTTCCTGCGTGATGCCCAGATTTCCTTCTACCCCAAAAGGCCCATCAGTCCTTTTAAACCTCAGATCCTAATAGTCCAGGTGATCAGTGGTCAGCAACTCCTCAGGGTGAACAACACCAAAGAGAAGTCCATGGTGGATCCACTGGTGAAAGTGGAGGTCTTTGGTATCCCTGCAGACAATAGCCTGGCAAGAGACCAGTGATGTGGAGAACAATGGCTTTAATCCATACTGGGGACTCTGTCCTTCCAGATCCTGGTGCCTGAACTTGCTATGCTGTGTTTGGTGGTAAAGGATTATGACTGGAAATCCCAAAATGACTTCATTGGCAGTTTACTGTGCCATGGACCTGCATGCAACAAGGTTACCACCACATATACCTACTCTCTAAGGATGGCACCGGCCTTTATCCAGCTTCCATCTTTGGGCATATCTCCATCTGGGAAGAGCTGGAGACTGAATCCTGAGATTTCTAAATACTCATGCACAATCGTGATCCTGGAAATGAATGTCTCTCCTGTAAGATCAACAACTACTATATCCCAGGTGGGGGACTGGGAGTCATTAGCTCCTGGGATGGAAGTCCCTGGGCAGCAGCAGAAAGTTCTCCCTATGTCCCAGGCCATGGCTTTGCTGATGTGGCCAGGAAAATTTGATATTGGAGCCCATGAAGCTGCAATGGGTGCAGTGGAAGGGGTAATGAGCCTGCTGGTGCAACTCCATGTCCTGATGGCTCTTGAAAAACAGGGGACAGCCTCAGAAAGAACACAGCACAGGAACTGCTCCATGGGTCTGCCTCTGGTGGTGCTGAAGACCCTTACGAACCTCAGCAGAGAACACACAGCCAGACTCTGGGCAGAAGAAAGTGTCAGGAGTGGCACGGTGAATCTTGAAGAAGCTCTTCAGGGCCTGTGGTTGGGCAAACTCCTGTCTACATATAGGACATGGCAGGAGCCATCTGCTGGACTCTTGCCCTGCAGAGGATCGTGGAGGGTAAGGTTGTTGGTGGGAAGCTCTATGGAGCACGGAATGCTAGGGAGCCCCTGCTCAGGCTCTATATGGGTCTCAGTGCTCTGGTGCAGAGACAGAAGCTCTGTTCACAGCACTCACAGAAGTATACCTCCACCACCTTTACCAGGATACCTGCAAGCAGAGGATGGACAGAAAGGCAGAGAATCAGATGAAAAGGACTGTAGGAGCTAGTTACTAGTAGTAATGCAGATGAATCTTTTTGTAATCAAGAAGTATAGAGGACTTCAAATCTGGCTCCACACTAGACTGTGTAAGCCCATAGGTCATCGATGGTGTGCAGCTGGTATTAGGGCTTCTAGTGTCTAGCAAAATATCTAGCACAGATAGGTGTTTAATGAACAATCATTAATAAAATCCAGGAAGCATTATAAAAGGCATATTTTGCTGAAATAAAAATTAGAAACTTCCTGCTGGGTGTGATGGCACATGCCTATAATCCCAGCACTCAAGAAGCCTGACTACATAGCAAGACCGTTATC